TTTCTATATGGGCCAGTGCATGCAAGCCACAATTATGAAAAAAAGAGTATCGAAAAAGTGTGCCTATCGTCTCCTGACGCTCCTTGGATTCATTCGTAGGCCAAATCCGCGATGAACCATGAGCGAGCGAGTGTTGCTCACGGTGGCGTCAGCTCGTTCAACAGTTACTGGTAATATTACCTGCGGTAAATCGGTTCCAAGTTGGCTTTGATTGAAGTGCTTGCCACTGTTAACTTAACCGATAGTGCAGCATTGTCCAGTGTAAACATGAGATTGCCAACTAAAAATACGTATATCGATCTTACCTTTTATTGAACAATAATTGCGGGATGCCGAGTCGCGTGTGAGGTCGTTGAAGTAATAAACCTAATGCAACGACTGTTATATATCTGTGTTTCGGTCATCAGTAGTTCATGCTAAGACAAGACAATATAGCGATGCCGTATTACGCAACAGGCACGATTAAGTGAAAATCTGAAAATTACAAAGTTAGACAGAACTTACAGATAACGGCGCATAATTAGCAACCGTTTGCTGATATTCAGCGAGACCAATACCTCGGCCCAGCCATCAGTCGGAGCGAGGCCTACGACAGGGCGGCTACCATTAGTTAACATTAAAGCGGACAGCTCAAATGTAACCCAGCAAAATAAACACTTATCTTATTTTAGTATAGTAATTTAATTTGTATTGTTCGCTATATAAAAGTTAATCTACGGTCCTGTCATTCTCCACCTAGCACTGGATTGGGGACAGGACCTTTGACTTGTGGAGCAGCCAATCGAAAATAGCAAAATTTTATCTCGTAGGACTGATTTCATTTGCTATTTTGTTCCACTCCAACCGATAGACGGTAGATACTGGGTTTGTTATTTCGACTAAGAAAGTAATGTGTAGCTTTATAGTGGTTCGATCGCTGTTCTTTCAAAAAATTCTTATGTAAAATTCAAGAAAAAAAAATTGATTGATTGAAAAAATTGAACGGAAAAATGCGCTTGTTACTAATTACGTTTGTATGTTTATATAGGCATCCGTCAGACAATGCTCGTTATAAAATAGCCCTCGAACTGAATTACGGATGATTAAAATCTACTGACAAATCAGATTGGATGAAAGAAATCGATCTATATAGCCGCTTGATGCAGGAGAACCTAATATCATCTATCTAAAATAATAAAAATTTTAAGTTAAAATGCGGCACTTCACAATAGCCTAGTTTGAGTTCAGGACACCCTGCTGCTGTTCGACCTTATCTAACCTATTCTGGTTGGGCTGCTTGCGGTCAAGGCCTAACTTATGACCATTAACGAGAAAATACTTCACTCAAGTTTGCCTGACACCAATGCGGCAATCGAACAAAAAAACAGTACCAAGTCAATGAGTGAAAACGTTATTTTTATTCGGCGCTCTCCTCAAATCGTCTTCACTAAGGTTTCTATAATCCTGATATATTCGGGAGTACTAGTAAATTCATGGTTCTTCATTTTTCGAATATCTGTCTGCTGTTAGCAGCCTTTGTGCGCATTATGGTTGACTGTGGATATGTCCTTTATCTTGGCAACTTATATGAATAGTACAGACTGTCTTCGGATCCAATTGCCGTGCGTGTAGATCGGTACTATGGAGGTATTGAGGCGTTGAGGAACGTCAGTTAGCCAACGTTTAAAGGAGGATACTTCGAAAGCTTCAAACGCTCTAAACACGTATCTGAGGTATCATCATCATATCAAGAGGCATGTAAAGATTATTGTGTAGGTTAGTGCTACTGGCTGACTTCATGAGCGCACGAACAAACATCTAGAGGTACGTGCAAACAAATAGCTGGGCGTGGATGCGTGGAAGTATAGGCCGCGGTCGAAAGGGCACAAAGGCCCCACCTGACGGCAGCCGTTGAGCTAAAGATCGCGTACAGAGAAACCACAAGCGGGTTGCGCTGCTGGCAGAAAAAGATGGACGCTCTGCATCAAGTGAATCACCAATCTTATAAACTACCCAAAATTCAAGTCTGAACTGATCTTTAATTCAACAAACCGGTATCGAAGCTTTCTGTTTACCCTCGTAGAATCTGACGTGAGTTACTATAAAATGCAGTAGAACAAATCTTGCTTTTATGACAAAGAAAGGTTTCCTAACAGTAGCAGATGGATAGATAGTTCTCCGCACGGCAAAGAATCCGACCACACAATGCGCTACTGACGGCGAAATGACTGACGCTGGAAGATTACTTGGTATCGCATTGTATCCGATCAAGTAACAGTTAACCAGTCAGCTTTTGACTAACGATGACGTGTATTGATCAGTAGCAACCATAAATAGGTACATGTAGGATATCCTATTAAGGAAAAGAATAGTGTACCTGTTCGCCGGGAATAGGAGTAAGCCAAAAAAAAAAATACAAAGAACATTAATGATGATATGCTGCGCTCAAAAAGACTCCTGTTCTTTCTATAGCCAACGTAACAATCTAACAAATGACTATTTCATGCAATACTAAATTAAATAAAGTAAGACAACTAGCCATTATTTGATGGTCTCCTTGATCGTACTGCAGTCTGTAGGGATGCTGTACTTACAAACGCTCGTCGTCTTAGCACTGGGAGCGCCACTATTGGCATTTCGTCTCAACTTTAAACTGATCTGTTTGCTGTTGTTTGATTATTGAAGTCACAATCTATTGAGGAACTGAAGCTCATGCGAAAGCTGGTTGTAACCTCCCAATTGAAGTTAATCGAATATTCAATACAGTGAATCCTTCTACAATTACGCTCGCCGCCAAAGGATGATACCGTTCTCGGCGTACCACGATTGTAATACAACTAAATTTAAACTCTAAAAGCAACTGCTTAGTTAATACCCTTCAAAACAAATAGAAGAAACATCAATGCGTCTATCGGTTTTTACGTACCGTAAGCCACCAGACTTTAATGTTCAACAAACCGTAACCCTAATATAAAAATGAGTTTCAGAAATACTAAAGCACTTCGAAATTCTGCTGTCTCGTCATAATTGCTTGCAGAAGCCCCCGAGTGCTAACCACAGACGATGGCGCCGGCAGTTCTAAAACATTTTCAAAAAAAAAGCTTATAAATAGCTTCAAAATAAGCTTAAAAATATTTTCAAATAAAGCTTTTCTCTATAGTTCAAAGGGACGCATGGAAGCATCATGGAATCCCTCGTGGCAGGTGCACATATGTGTGCTTTATTATATACATAATTTGCTTAATTACAACAAGTTAATAAATAGCCGCGACCATCTTAAATAATATCAACTACAACTAATTTCTCTGTCACGCCACGGGTGGGGCAACGCGACGTTAGTTGTAAATGATATTTTAAGTCATTAACTGTTATGCGTTAATTTTTTTTCTATAATATTGTGATAAAGTTAGCAGTCAAACCAGTGTGTTTACTGTCTTCGGTACCAATACATAGACTTAGAACACGCTTCCCGGCACTTTAATATAAATATAAAACCGCACTCAATTTGCGACGCAAACGTCATTGCGGTCTCTCGTAGCTTATTGCTATATGCCGCGTCCTACGACCATGGCTTGCCTTAACGGTAACTGAAACACTACTAAAAGGGCTGGTATCGTAAGGAATTGCACAAGCCACATAATCTAAATACTCGTGCTACCACAAGAAGTAGTTTCATCGAAGGACCGGCATGAAGTAAAGCCAAATTGGACAGTTCACGGGGGTAGCGTGACCACGACACAGAGCGGCTTCCTTAATAATATCTAAAAAGGCGAAAGCTATGACGCACCGTAAGCAGAGGGTCGGTGAGAAAAATATGTTTCATCCTAAACAACGCAGCGATATCGAGTTGCAATATAAACGCTACGAAAATAATTACTCTAATTTTCAATAGCAAATCCTAGCGATAAGTGAGACGGACGCGTCTTTTATTGCAAAGTTGGGGGTCTGTAACCGAAGCTTCAGTGTACGACAGCGCAGTTGGTCTAAATGACCGCTGTACATATGCATATTGATGAGGTGCACCTACAGTATCTCTAGACGCCTGGGATCCTAAGAGAAACTAAAGAGAAATGAAAAAAAAAAAATAATATCGATCTAAATTAGCTGTTCAACAACAATGCGCACAGATTTAGAAACGGATCCAAGTCTCTGATAAGCGTTACTGAGTCTTCTTTTCCTACGGCTTTCGAAGTTGACGCTTACAAGTCAGTATCTCTACTTTACCCAAACGACTATTGTTCGCCTTATTCATAATCGAGCTAACCGTTATCGGAAGATGAAATAGATGTATATTCCTATTGAGCCACGTATTTCCACGAACCCAGGTTAAGACATCTAATTAACGGTTTAGTTGCTCGATGTACGACAGCCAAAGTGGTCGCTTTCACAAAAACATGTTTTTCTACGAAAAAAGTCTACGATTTTGTTCTGTTATAATACGAAGGAGTGTACATTTTGTCTTCTTTTCCCCCTAGAATATTAGACATTTAATATTTTATATTAGTAAGACTAAGAGGAATACGAATCTTATTAATATATAATCGTAGAATATATTCTAATAAATATATTTGCTATAACAAAATTGGGTATCTCGCGTTAATCCGTGTATCTTCCACTTGCGTTTCAGATGGAACAGCTGGAAATGAAGAGTCCCCGAGTCTGAATTTCCGCACTCCTCTTGAACCCATGCTTCCCCCACAAAACAAATTATATTATCTCCATCTAAATGATATTGTAATGTACCTCACATATATCTAAGGATACCGTAAAATAAAAAAAAGTCACCGCAAGGACCATGCTCCCTCTAAATTGACCATCCCTTCTAAACTCATCCTTATCATAGTCATCCTATGCTGAACGATTTTTACCAGATATGTGTTTCAGCGTTCCTTGAAGTACCGGCCAACGTATATACATGTGTGTGTGTGTGTGTGTGTGTGTGTGTGTATATACTAACATACAGAGCTTAATGGTAAAAATCTTTTATTATTATATAAGATTACTATAATTATCATGCACAGAAACGGGAACGATATGGCATCCGACCTCAAGTCAAGACTACATTCCAGCTTCCAGGACCTGGGCGGTAAGTTGGAAAATGTTCACTGTTAATTTCCTATTGTTTAGTCAAATAATTTTTTCTACTGGCCTGACAACAACTAGCTAACGAAATCCAAGCTTATTTCTGATTGTTGCGTTTTGTTTTCCAAAAGAGGTCCCAGTGTTTTTCGTTAATTTCGAACCCTCTTATCGTCTGCTCCGGGACAGCATCAAAATCGGATCTGCTAAACAATTTTTCTATAATTATCAGAATGTTAAAAAATTGCTAAAACGTGTTGGAAGCAGTAATTGTTTGCGAAAATACAAAGCGATAGTAGTATTTTTTCGTTTTAAAGAACAGCTCTTTTGATTGAATTTCTGGTATGAACAGAACCATCCGGCCACCAGGCATAAACGGTGATCTTAATAACTTTGTAGTATTTATTAAAGTGAAATTAATATAGATAGTCTATCAGAGTAATACGTATGATCAATCCAGTCAACCTCACGAGTCGTACCTTGCGAAACTATTTTTTCTTAAATTTATTCTACTATCTATCTTATATGGCTACTTGAAGTATGTATCTCTAAAGATTTCTTAAATCTTCTACCGATCAAGTGCTTACCTAACGTACACTACCTAATTGTCTTGATGGAATCATTTATCCAGGAGGGGTCTCTCCGCCACCTGGCGGTGATTTCTCGCGCGCTAGCGAGTTCCACCGATTTTATGAAAATCGATGTCAAGATGTTCGCCGACGTCTCCTCAACCAGAGTCCATTGGGCAGATTGTCGCCCTTCAGCATGACTTCGTTCAACGACCTCAGTCTCACAGGCGAAAAGTTCTGCGTCAGACTCGACGTTGGACATTACGGACCAGAAGATATTGAGGTACCTTGTAATGTGAAAAAGCGTACTGCGGCAAATATTGCAACTTCGTTTTATCAAAATAGTTCTCGACGAAGTATTAACGCACCTATGACTAATATTATCGTAGTGTAGATTTAGGCTACCTTCCGCTATTTACTAACCTTGAAGATTTACTTTGCATTTAGTCGAAGTAAACTTGTTTACCGAAACCCAACCTGCTGTGCTTCGAAAATATTCACACATGGTAATAGTAAGCGCTATACACTGTTTACATATCATTCGAAAACATGAACGGGTCCGTTTCGCCGATAATTAGGCTACCCGTTCACTTAGCATTTAGGCGGATTTTACGTTTCAAAAATAAGATCGATGATAGAACATTCGATACAAGTCTTTCACCACTTCGTAGGTGTGTAAATATAGATATATACCTATATATAACTTTTTATAGCTAACTTATTAACTTTCAGAAAAGCCAATTCAATCTAAATATTTCAAGTTGTACCTAAGGCAATTTTGGTAATTCATATAGAATGTATAAGCCTTGATTAACTTCCCTTTGTTTAGAGGTGAGTCGTTCCGACACGCTGGCAGCGCGCCGTGAGTAACTTCTGCGTACCATTCCTACCAAAAGCACAGATTTGTACTCCTCAAACACGGCTCGCAATTGTATGTCCGATCTCCCAGAATTAGAGCTTAATGGCCATGCTGTTAGATGTTTCTGTTGGGAAACATTCAACACAGATGTAATAAACATAACATATCCCTAGTTCTGGTTTAGCCTCATTTAGCCCCCAATTCTGACAGATTCACGACGCAACACTGTATAGCGGTATTTATGCTAATCACAGAAAAAAGACAGCTGAAAGTGAGTTACGGAAAAACTTATCAAGGAAGTTTTCAGCAAAAACCAACTAGTAAAAAATTTCGTATCTCTAATTTAACGCATGAAACTGTAATGCATCTGACGAAATTCTCATGGTTCTTCTAAGTTGAGCTTCGTTGCTTTTTTTTTTTCCACCAAAGCTGTTCATCACAGTAGCTCCCCTTAGCCCTCTTGCGTCATTTTTACAGGAGTTAGGCAGAGGGCAAATGTAGTTTGACGCGTCTACTTAGGCCATTCGTAGTAAATATTGTTGGAGGACATGCCATTACGTTACAGCAATGTGCGCAAACTTTCTCATCGCGAAAATGGCTTGATACAGCTTAACGCATACCTTATTCAATATAACATTTCGTGAATGTCTACAAGTATAGTTCAATACATCTATGTATAAATATATGCAAGATCTAGACCCGTTTGAATTACATAATTTGTGTGAATCATACATATACTATTTTTATGTATTTAGGTGAAGACCGTCGACCAGCAAGTGGTTGTGAGAGGAAGACACGACGAACGCGCCGACGAAATTGGCACTATTTGTCGCGAATTTACCCGTAGAATTCAGCTTCCCAAAGACATACAACCGGAAAGCGTCAAATGTTCACTAACCTCCGATGGGTGAGTCCTATTATTATTATTATTATTTGCCATTGCACTTACGCGTTCGGTCCGAAATAAGGTAGATTATATATATATATATACAATACCGAGGATACACTCATTTATGTTATGCTGTAAGCTGGGACGGCTGTACTATGGAATTATCATGACTAATCTACAATAGTGTGCTATCTTTGGGGGGTGACGAAGTGTTGTACGTCCTGCTGTTTCCATTGATTCACAATGCGCAAGTGTGGATGTCAGCCACCCGCCGGGAAGTTTCATCTATCGAAATAGTTCCTAGTATAGACTAGCCTCTAGCAGCGTTACAAGCGTAAACAATTCTGAGTACGGCATGCATACGTGATTGAAAATCAGCGCACCACAGTAAGTTGGTGAAGAAAAGCTCTTATTTCTCCTATGCTTAATTTACGTAATGCATATAAAACGTGTATATATATGCTCTTTGCTGTGCGGTTTTATCGATACCAACAGCCTGTCGCAGATATAACTGGTCCCGTTTAGCGCTAAACACATCAGCGTTGATATGAAATAAATCAAAGGCTGGAAATAGCGAAATTTCTCTCGAGTCATGAGAACAGCCTTATTGTGCCAGTATGTCTCTTTCAGAGATATCGTTCATTTACCTTCGTCAAGTTTCAGCCATCGTCAGCCGGCTGGCGTGAAGCTGATGGCGACTGGCTGAAACGATGGTGTCAACTTTATGCCAGTCTATCCCGGTTCTCTCGGTCGTTTGCTATTGAACAGTAGAATGTCATAGAAGAAATTCCGTAGATATAGAAAAGCGGCTAAGATAATGAAGAACGTCACCAGAAGAGGGGCCATCTCTATCCATATGCAACCCTAAATTTGTACAGCTCTAACCATTATCATTGGGCAGGGCTACACATCTACAGATGTAGGGTATCATCGGATCTTATAAGCTGTCCCGACACTTTGTCTGGCTTTGGTCTAAGGAAGCACAAATTAAATAAATAAACAGATTCTCATAAATACACGTCGTGGAAAAATGTTGGGGAACGTTAAAGAAGAAATAATTGATTTAGATAGATATTGTATCTTCTGTTCCGCAAAGCTGACCATAGTTGTGGGTTTGCATAACAAATACGGCGTAATTTTTACACCGTGACTATACCGTGTAACCTGTGCGAACAATTTTATAATTAATAATAGAATAAGCAAAGAAATGCTGCGAACACAAACAAAGCGATGTATAGTAAATTTTTTTTTCCTTTACAGTGCTTCGTTTCATTAATTACAGGAACCACTTCGTCAAGTGAAACATCAATTACTCATTTGTAACTTAGACTTCACTCAGAACAAAAAAATTTCAAATACGACCTTTCGTCGAGAAAAAAATATCCAACAGAATAGAAAGCGACTGAGTATATTCCTGTTTTTTTTTTTTTTTTTTAAATAAATGCTATTTATTTGCGGTGTTATTCGATTTTTTATAGTGAACATGTCGTGCAGTCTATACCTGTTAGAAATGGCGCTGTTTTATGACAGCCCAGCTCATTCCTAATTACATATTTCATAGCTAATATACTTCGTGATCAGTAAAAATTTAAGGTAACATATACGTACATATAATCTGAACTTCGAACGAATAGCAAACATCGAATCGATTTCTACTGCAAAAATGATCCAAAGCCAATCGTATCCCAAAATGTGCTCTAATACAGAAAGCGGTCTCTTTTTTTTTTGTGTAGGTATCTGGTGATCGAGGCGCCGCGCAAGCCCGAGAAGCCACCCGCGAATGAGCGTGTCGTGCCGATCAAGGTGCTTGATACTCCAGTCAATAATAGCGCATCACAAAAGATCAACAACGGGCATGGCAAGTCTAACGGTAACACTGTTAGGTTCAAAGATCCCCCTGCTGAGACCCGTGACATCTGAGCCTTCGTCAACAGCCAACAGCCACTACTACCCGGCTGGATGATTATAATGATTGTGAATGGCGTCGCCTGATGTTTGATGCCGATACCGGCACGCGTTTCCTGGCTGCGCTGTTACATCTGATCGACTGCGATTGTTGAGCGGGGAAGATCGGCTCGCCGGAAAGGTCTGCCTTCGTTAGCTGCCGATCCCGCTAAGGGGCTCGTGTTGAGCCCTCAAAGCCAAGCGCATCTCCACAATAGCTCGCCAGCTGCCCGTCTGTGCCTGCCCCTCCAATCAAGAAACAACCGTTCTGACCAAGCAACATATCAACCACTTACCCGCCGAGGCCACAGTCCAGGCAATATCGCCTAAGCGGTTCGTTGCGGCCCCTACACTCATGTGTGCATCAACACTGATTAAAGTCATGCATGCTGTGTGCGTGTGCGTTTTGAGGGGAAAAAAAAACGCTGTCTTTTGGCCGTTGATGCCTATTTTCGAGTATTTGTTAATGAGAGACGATTGACAAGGTACTTCCTCTCCATTGTACGGCTGCTGCATACGGCGGGCGGGGGGTGAACGGCCATGATCATTCTGATAATAAGCCGAATTTGAGTATGGAAAAAGGATGATGTTTGGTAAAAAGAAAAATACAAATTAACTCTAAAATGCAAACTAAAGCTATATGGCGGCAATAGAGATTATATGGCTATATGTTCTATTACTGCCGTACAAATAAATATTCAAACGTCGTTAGAGAGTAGCTTATTTTTGTACAAATTTACTTTGTTGGAGATGACATTGATGTCAATTGCGTGTCAAGACCGTTCCGGCAAAGAAAGGGCTTAGATACAAGTTCTCAGTCGATTGATATGCCTTACCAGGACTTTGCATCGAAGTACTAGGTGAACGCTTCAAACAGCAAAAGTGTACATGCTTCTTCTGTATCTCGAAAAGACCTTCATCTGTTGAGTGCTTCTTTGTTATTAATCGGCCTTTTAGAGGCCTTTTTCTCGACGAAACGCTGATGGATATAAACCTTACCTGTATCTTTGTTCGATTTCAAGCCTTCAAGTTTGATGCACAATTCACTGCATCGATTAAGCTAGAAAACGTATAGTTTGCGGTATAACTTCAACAGGAAGCTGTTTTAGAGGTTAAAGAAACCGGTTTGCCTCAGCATCTGGTTATGGAATATTAAACAGGATGTGTTGAATTAATAAACGTACATGGCTTCGACGCGTAAAGCACCCTCCGCCGCCTGATAGGTATATTGGAACAGCAAAATAAAGCTAGGTCTTGGATCTTTTTTGCCTTTGTCTGTATGATACTTACTCTGTCCTCCTTGTAACACTTCCCTGTATTTGTCGTGTTACACTTTTGACAAGCATAACAAAACACGAATGAAACTTATTTCTAATTTTTGGGGTCTGCATAAAATGACATGGTAGATGGCACTGAAAGATGTGACGCCGAGATACACCAAAAATTAACTATGTATATATGTATGCTATGCCAGCTATTAACTGCATGAGTAAGGTCAGTCAAGTTCGTCCAGTTAACAAGTGTTTTCCGCTTCTTCGGAGTAAACAATGGGGTCACTTAGTTTGTCTGGATGTATGACCTGAAGAACTTATTGAGCAATGGGCTTAACACTACAGATAACTGAAGGCGAAGATGCACGGCAATCTAAGTGAGGGCGCTAGATTAAGGGACTGAAGCGTTGATTACAGATCTGCTAGTTATATATCTCTCACTGACGTACACGCGGCAGAAATATACGAGCGTAATGCACGCGCCTCGATCAAAACGTGTGTATTTTAAGGGAGTTCTAAATAGCGTGCCATAACGATCTTTTCTAGCGTACCGCGTCCGCTCGAAAGTGCCACTGTTTCGTAGCACTCGTTCTGCTTCGATTCATTCAAGCATGAGAGCAACAAACGATAGCAAAGCGTATTGTGCATTGCGCCTATGTGTGTATACTTGTGCATCTTTTCAATGACGACAGTGTTCCGAAAGCCACAGGTTTGATACCTAACTATTTCTACTGTGACATCCAACGCGTGTCGTTCATGTTCAACCTTTGCCTTTTCAGGAGCTCGGTGCACCAGCCCATCACGACATCACTGCACCTCAGCTGCCAGTAATCCAATACCACAGATGAGTTCATCAAATATATCACAGCAGACGACTCAGAGCAACGGGACGACGACTACAACAGCGACCCTCCGTTCGAGTACAATGACCAAAGTAACCGCAGGAGCTTCCGATTTATGAGCTCAGATGCACAATCCTCTCGACCGTCGATGATCAAGCACCCACTCCGAACATGTCAGTTGATTCCCGTTCGGAAAACGAGGACTTACACGAATATGATCGGAAAATATCTTCCGGGCATCTTTATGATCAGGATACGTTCAGCACGAGCATGCAATGATTTCAAAGGACCATTTCAACTACTACTAACTATGAAAATATTGATAGCTATAACAGCTGATCGTCGCACGTTCATGATGATACGTGGAAAAATACAATTGGCTAACATTTACTCGACGTAGAGCGGCATGCGAGAAAAGTAACTTTGATATTATATTGATATTCGTATACCATACACTAGATCTATCTATAGATGTAGTCTATTTTACGGTGTAAGTTATTTAGGATTCTTGATTGGTAAGACATTCGAGTACCATCATCTTGGTATGAAACGACTACATTCATATAATAGTTACTAAGTTCCGCAAGTAACTGTTAACGATAACTGCTGCACTTGGCTAAGTACGGTCTTTGTGCCTTGAGCGAAGAAGACAGCTGGCCCGATATTCCACCTTGCTGCTAATTTTCAGTCTATTTTAGAACGCCACTATTCTAGACCTCCCGTGTTATTGGGCATTTTAATCCGTCTACATATATATATATGTATATTACATCGATTCAATTATTTCCAATAGTATCGTTGGCAGGCACCGAGGGCTCAGGGTGCTCACTGGTGAAAATTTGACCAGGTTCACTTCTGGCGAACGGTAAACAACGGATAACACTGTTTACCAGACGACTGTCAGCTATTCCGTAAAGCTGAAACGTCGAAAGCTGTTTTCAGACCCAGACTATCATTTGCTATTTATCTAACCCAATTTAAACAAACACACTTAGATCTCCCCCACGAAATCTGTGTGTCCAGCGCCGCAAAGTATATGGAGTGTTTGATTATGAGACGAAGATATATACTGAAATTTGTTTTAAAGCCGAGGAACATATTACAGTGGTAAGGTTGGCGATAATTTATTTTTGTTAACTTAAATAAATCAACAAGGGAGCATTATGTCTAATTGTTCGATAGTTTTTCAATTTCGGAATGCTCAGGAAAGCCGTATGTAGACGCGCTATGCGGCTAAAACGTTTGTTGACCGCGCAGATCATAAAAAACCATCAAATGATATAAGAAAATAGGGAGTTATAGGTCTTAACTGCTAGATGGTAAGTGCAAACAGTTTATAGTCGAAACACAATAATCTCGAAATAAACAATAAGTTTACAAACGATCAAAATAAGCAATGTCTTACTTGATGTTTTTGCATTTACAATGTGCCTTTGGATCTAGAAAAGCAGAACGTTAGGTTTTATTCTAGCCTATGTTGAATTAATAGTTAGAAATGCACGTCACTCATCTTTCATAAACGTATAGGAAATGGAATCAATAGGGTTGATTGATACTTGATGGGATGCGCAGCTAACACAGCATCACCCTCGGAAAACTCTAATGAAGTACTTAGAAGTAAGTATTCGATAGCGTTTACTGATTTGGCGCCTTTAAAAGGTCTGCTCGCCAATATAATTATCCGCCGAATTGTCTTTCAACACATCCAACCAGTCATGGGCATGCTTGCTACAAGATGGATTTTGTACGTATTCGCTGTCTGCCGTATAATCGGTGGTACGCTTCATTTTGTCGTGCGGCGTATCTTTCTTTCTTGTATCCTCATTCCGGTCCTCTCTAGAGCTCGGTGCGTTTATCTTCTCGTTGTGATGTATCGACCAGTTAATGAACTCTACGAACACGTGTCGGGCACGATGCCATTGTCGACTTCAAAGCCGACTAGCTAGAGGCCGTCGGGACATCTTGCACTAATCTGCCGCGATAAAAATCCCCCAACCCTGACGTCCATGTTGGAAATATGTATGGTAACAGGAACTGCTCGTCTTGTTTAGAATGACCAGAACAGACAGAATAGAACCGAACAGACCTTTTCTCAGTGGCTGATTAGTAAATCCATTGTAGGTCGAGCAGGAACAGGCGAACTTCTACGGTTGTCTGCAAATACGTATATACATGCTTTAATCCAAATTCCTCTGGTGGGAAAATAGTAGCCATTAGGTACCGAACCTGTGCCCTTGGATGATCCTGATGACAATTTGGAAACATCCTTGACTTTGGTTTTTTATAGAAGTACGAACTGTAATTTCTCTAAACCGCAACGTACGATATGGCAGCTACATGTAGGACACGGTGCTGTGCGATGCCGCCAGAAGACAACATTCTTTCTACACCCGTAGTGTGAGAAGGTCCCATTACAACTGAGCCTGCCACAGTGAACTCATGAAAATCCGGACAATCAAAATCCCTTATATAGGCTTTACTCAATATTATGCTGGAATCATTATATTATCTCAAATCTAATGCGAAACAAAAGAGGCTAGCAAATAGAAAATTCAAAGGTATCATTCAGGTTTACTTACCGCAAGTAAATAAATAACCGCATTCGTATCTACGATAGCGCAGATTCTTACTTCCAGAAGCTGATAGATCCCTTTTGTACTGTTCAATCAACAGAAGACGGGTTTATATTATGAGAATAGTCTGTGGATGCCTGTTTACGAATGGATTTATTTAACAAATAGATTTAAAATTATAGTCATAAATTACATTCTTAATCCATGCTGGTCCTCCACTGACTGAGCTCGAGCAACAGAACGCAGGCCAGCATTAGGTATTATCTAGATATGGTCGTATCATGCCAATGAATGCAGTACATGTTGAATTGTTTACCACTAGAATACGAAATGGAGTAGGTTTGATGAAATTAAAAATTTAATTCAAAATTAAGTAGATCAATAAAGGCTTCCGCTTGATTTCTACATTGTATTCCTATAACTACCTGTTCTTCGCTATCCGACGCTAATTTCCTACCTAATATGTACCGCGTTTATGTAAATCAATGGTGCGGAAGGGGGGCGTGGCTGGAGATGAGTGAAAAATAGAAAAGGCGCGCGTAAAAGCGGATTGACGCGCTCTTCAAAATTTAAACCTGGTGACAGTCCGTCTGAGCTCTCTTCAGGCGGACCAACGGCTGGCAGTCATTGATGACAGTAGCAGCAGTAGCCTGCAGCATAGGTATTGCCGATCTAAAATGCTGTGACGGCTGTTATGCGGAGCCCTGAATATGTTGGCGCTGAAACCTTTGTTGTTTGGAGGCTTTCCTTGTTGGAGCACGGAGCGAAAGGAGGCCCAGCCTGCTCGCCCTGGCCTCGTTAAGCGGGCCTTCCTCTCTAGACGGAACGAGCAGTGTTAGGGAGTGAACGTGGCTCCGATGTAGTAAGTTGTATAGATTGTCGACTAGACAGAACGTCGATTCAAGAGCACCAATCGACGCCGTCGACAGCTGACGACACGCAGTGCCCACCACACGCGTAAAGGCAAAGAAGCCGCCTCAACAGCATCAGCCTAGCAAAAGCCAATTACTACACGACTGAGGACCGTCCCAGTGATAATCAACGAACTTGACGACGACGACGACGAGGACTAGAAGGGTGCATTGAATATAGTGCACAATAGTTGACGTAAAGGACAGAAGCCGAATGATCCATTGGCAAAACATACAAAGTCGCCGAGAGTCGAGTGAAGTGGCTAACAAAAAAGGTGTCTTATCATTTCTATCGTAAACACCGGGCAAAATAGCCCAAAGAGAATAGACTTGTATGAGATTTTCGAGCGAGTGGAAGCAGTAACTTTGTAGCTAAATAATAGTACAGAACGATAGTGGTGCTACTATTGCTAACACGGTTGTAAGTGAAGCTTCTACTTTATCATAACTAGTTCACTCTGTTTGGTCGATTGAAGCTTTTTGGAGTTGCTCTATTGAACCTCAATAGAAAGCAGACAAGTGCGCGCTTTCGTAACGTATAGCTGCTTAGGCTACACATTAAATGGAGTAAAAGTAGAGCGCCAGCTAGATGAGTCGTGTCTCGTTTTTATAAACATCCTATCTTGTATGTGTGGTTGTGCCGACACCTCAAGGCTATTGAACACCGAAAACAATAGTAAATAACCCCTAAAGACAAAGACGAGAAGGAAATGACAGAAAAGTAAGTGACCGACGTTTCAACATGGTACATATATAGCCCCCCCCCTTGATAATCGTCGATGTGAACGCTTAAAAAAGCCGCACGCTTCTATCACTGAAAAAAAAATAGCAGAATAAAAATGCATCGTCTACTCCGAAACGTGCAGCTGTAGTAGTATTGTGTGTTAGTGATCAGTCCGGAAGTAAAAAAGAAACGGAGGAGAATTTAAACGTCGGTCCCAATGTCACAGTGTTTATTACAAAACGGTCGGCTGAACGTTCTCAACGACAATCGTTACCGAGGTGCGGACAAGCTGGCCTAAATAGAAAAAAAAACACAAAAAAAACTGCTTACATTTTCAGGTACGAACTCTTAAATAGAATGCTAGTATTCATCGTAGGACGGAATGTCCTAAGATTAAGTAGTTGTGTTGCAAGTAGTAGTCCAGGCCCCATTTAGAGAACTGACTTGCTTATTATATGCAAGTCAGTGAACTCCAATATTAAATCACCTTAATAAATCACATTGATACAAGTAATTTTTTAATGAGTGCTTGGGGGTAATTTTTTAAAGAAAAGAATTTATCAGGTTCTAATGTCTAACATATGAGATTGTTTTCATTATATTTTGTTCAGAATTACGTCCTCGAATTTAGTTAAACTTCAATTAAACAATGTACATTGTACGTAATTTTTTTCACGCTTAGTTAATCAGTATTAAATGCCGGTATGCACACAAGTTGTATCGGTGGAATACAACTTGCAATTTTTCTGATGATTCTGTTAAATCTTGTTGACGTAGTCCGTTTTTAGGCCTTTGGACTCTACCCCTGAAATCTTACAGGACTAGAACAACAATAAAAATAAACAAACTCAATTTCGTACTCGGAAACTATAATGTATCTAAGAAGCTTTCTATTTTACTAAGGATAAATTTATATAGGACATCTAATGGGTACGTTTATTTAGACAATTTTACCTATGGCATATTACGAATAAAAATTTTGCGTTTGTTTATGAATCATAAACAAGAGGATTATATGCAGCTGCAATTGAAGCAGCATACACAGATAATGCTTCGAGTGATAACGTTCTTCTTTAATGACCCATTTCTGGATTTTACACATGTTCCGCTGGATTTAAAAAAAAAAATACTATGACGCACCTCCGTGTTGCAATGATTCAACAATAAAAACTATTTTTTTTTTTATATGCTATACAAAGCATTTATGAGTAGTACGTTCTCTGGCTTTTAGGATCGTTGAAAACACTTCCCTAATGATCACCTTTTTGTAGCACTATAAGGTAATTTTTAATTTGATCAAAGTAGATGATTTACCGCGCGTCTACCGCGCGATTGCTGAAAACAAATGCAGGTTTCTATACACGGGAATGAAAAGAACGCAATAGCAAGCCCGCTTTAGGGACTTTAAAACTAAATGGAAATGTTCAAAGAGGCATTTTTGACGGGCCAGCTCATTCAATGCGAGCTTTAGTCTAGCAATGGATAGAATGACCCGAACTGCTCATGAAAGCTTCAGGTACAAAGTTTATGTGTTATTAATGTCAGCTGAAAGGTTTATGTCGACAATAAAGCTAAGAGATCTTGAGTTCTCTTAAGGATGTATTAGCAAGTCGTCTGTGATTCTTCGTTGACAAAAAACCTCGATAAAAATCAAACTTTGCAGAAATGTCCACTGGCCAGAAAATGCACCCCTCTTGTGAGTGGGTCCAAAAAACCTAGCCGTTGTAAACCTAGTGTTGCAGTACGATGCCACACTTTTGTCCAAGAAAGGGATCCATCTTCAAGGAACGTTATATGAGTGTTCTAAACCCAGTCGAAACCTAAATCGTGCATTTGTCAACTAGATGGTATAAGACGTACGATTAATCGTCTCAGCGAGCGAACTGATACGGATTCAAGGCCGTTGGATTACTATGTATAGGACACGAACAACGTTCACTCTCTTTGCCGCCAAACCAAAGCTGTGGTCGGAGTGAACCGTAACTATATGCGATAAAAACATTTGTCTGGCATGTCCTTGTCAGTTCGCACAAAAAATTCAATCATATATTTGTTCTCGCCTAGAAGCGGTTTCGATGAAGCGACATAAAACGGGTGTCAATTTCTTCGAAATGGTAGGTTCTCTATCAGTTTTTTGACATGTAAAAAAATCAGTCTGTGTTTAGAGGTATAAAGCGAAGTCTACTTACTGCCGTAGACTCGTTCGGCTCCAAGTAAGAATAGAATCCGATGAGAGACCCTGAAATATCTCTGCAACGAACTGCCTCAACGAACCCCATAACGCATTCAGAATGCAAGAGCTGGCATGGCCACGCACATCGATCTTGTCGACCACGAGAAGGCAAACCCACTAGCGTAATAAGAATCGTCGTTTTCTAGGAGCCTATATTAGGCGACCCGGGAACGCTCTCTTCAGAAGAAAGCGCCGCCATTGCACCTACGAAGTGCACCAGTGGCAAAAGAGGTGTAAAAAAAATGGCTACAAACGAAAATGTTAATCAAAGGGACAGACCTTATTTAAGTAGCCTTTATAAATACGTCGAGTCCTGCATGGTGAGTCAGACATAAAAATCTATATGGTAACTCGCTCAAATACTACAAGTTCAGAACTAGGTCTGGCCGTTTATGTCTCTTCGAGGAAGACCGCTGTCAGTGCACCCAGATCTATTTGTACTGTTCATCTAGGTTTCGCAGAGCTGTGCGAATATCTGGTGAAAGGAGTTTTAATTAATGGACCAGTATCCAAACATAGAGTTCGTAGGAACTTTCAAATATATATGTAACTTTTGCTTGCACCTCTTCAGTCTTATTATATTGATAGCCAAGATAACGCCCGTTATCGCCAACTAATAGTTTTTTGAGTTCTACCATTTTTGTAGGACATCCGCTTTAAAAGGCCTTGAACTCCTCTGATTCCAATAATTTGGAAGGGTCCTACGAGTCTCCTGTTTGATTACTGCTACCGTTTTCAAACCTCTCCCTTTGGACGGTCGCTTTTGTCCGCAGCTCAGCGAAGTCCAGGTGAGCAGCATAGACTAATCTACAATGACAGTGGCCTTTTCTGAAGACACGAAAGGTTTTCAACTTGCAGTGATTCACCACGCAGAACTTTACGTATCTGTAACGGCTACTCAAATCGGGACTGTCGCTTCGATCAGCACTTTTTTTGCGGTCACCTCTGTGGTCTTTTTCCTATATATATATATATATATATATATATATATATATATATATATATATATAGGTAGGTGTGCCCTACACATCTGCATCACTATTGCTATATAAAGACGAGATGTAGGCGCTTTACAATTCGATTCGATGACCTTGTGTCGTCACTGAAAATGAATGGCAACAAGAAGGGTTAGGAAAATAGTTAAATAGAAAAAGTTAGAAGAATACGAAATTCCTCTTAGTGCCTGGCGTAAAGTTTGAAGCCGTTGAAGGCGCTAGTGTGAGCAGAACGTAACAGGACGACCCTTATCTGAACGAGATCATTGTTAGATTTGACACAAGAGTAGATGTTTGTGAGCCCGAATTTGCCAATGGGTTTTGGTTTCGAATAAAAGAAAACACATTGTTATTGCGGATTACACGATACTAACCCGAATCCGTGTTTATGCCCTGTCACTTAGGGATACACAGGCGGATATGCAGGTACCTTGAAAACGGAACGGCAGATACATGAACGCTTCCGTATGGTTCCGGCATACATCCACCGCACAAAAACACTATTGCTAAGTAAAAAAGTTTCCGTTGTTTGATGTTCAGGGTACACGAGGCATATATTGCGGCGTACGCTCCCAGTCGCGAACACCTACAGATATGGACGCGGTCGGTTGAAGAGAACATTGAAATGGGTGTGTGTGTGAGCATAGAGCAGCTGAGACAAGTACTGGTATGATCAGAAAGCAATACGTCATGCGTATATAATGATATCGACGGAAAAGCTTAGGATTATTGATATGGGCACTAACGCTGGGCCACGTGTAAGTTAACTTCTTTAGCTAGTTTTTGCAGACCTTAACACACGTATTTCTAACGTAACTTATATGAAACGATAGAGTTTCTTGAAGGAGATCATTTGTGTACTTCTTCAAATTGCAATGGTAATGGTAGTGTGGCGTAGATTTTACTCGGTTAATCTGGTTTCTCATACTGGTTTCTCACAAGATCAGGATTATTTTTAAATCACGATGGTATAATGAATTCATTAATAGGAGTATGGAGTTCTTTTGACGAAATGTACACATGTTTCCAGTTTAAATAGTAGCTAGCTATCTAGGGAAGCTACTCTAATGGAATAACAGTTTTAAAGCCGACTATTGTAAGACAGTCTTTTATGAGAACAAAGCTTATTGTCCGCTTCGTGGGCCGTTCACTTTTACGAGCCCTTCCATTTTCGTATTGTATGCCCCGAGGCGGGGATCTAGTGCCGATATTAGTGCAGTAGAATCGCGCGTCTGTATCGACTGACCTAGTCGTTAGAACCTAAGTATTTGTAAACGAGTGCTGGAAGGCTGTCGACCGGTTTCCTAGCAACCTGCAGCTGCCGACCTGCTGCAGTTCGACGAAGAGGGATTTGAAGTTTAGATGCGTAGGTTTAGAAGAGCTGTGACTTGGATTTCTGATAGGACTGAATAGCTAAAGGCTGCGCAGGATTATTACGAGAGGCTGCGAAATCATGGTTAAGCGAGGAGGTTCCCGTGACGGTGTAGTCGTAACTTATCTGCCTACTGGATTTGAGGATACGTGATGATCTGGGTGCGGACGCAAACAACTGTTTCGTACTGGGAGCCAGCCATGGCTAATAACAGTATCGGTCGTAAAGCGGGAAATATCTAGACGAGGAAATCGTCGTCATCAACAAGTGGAAACATTTCATAGAGAATGTTGCACAGATAGTCCTCAAGGAAGTCGTAGTTGTAGAAACAGCCTACGCTTGACGAAAAAAAAGATTGGAGAAGTGAGATGTTCTAAAAAGTTTTTAAATCCGCAACTGATCCTGGATTTTGCTCCTTTATATATTGCAGCATCTCGCGTTTAGACCATAAGGTATTATTACGAAAGACATCCATGAGGGGGCCTACAGTTTAACTAAACAAGCTGGGTCTAAGTGGGCTTGGATGTCAAGTACCACGTTTCTTTCCCTCAGCTACTGACTGTCCGGTCTGCTGCCAGAGTGAGACATGGCCGACGATCTTGGTAGTCTTTATGAACAGAAGGATGTGCGAGATGCGTTGGTTATAGCCGCCATTATTATGCAAATATTGTTTCATACATAAGATTTAGTATTCTTTACACATGCTTACAATCGCTGCCATTACTATTTCAAGTGAAATAAGAAACTAAGAATTTTTTTGCAATCAGCACGATTAGCGAATTAGATTTACGCTAGCATTGAGGGACACAGTTTATCGGAGGCGCTACAGACTAAGTCACCTCATTCGGCAAGTGCACTGTTAAAAAAGATCAAGATTTAACAAATAATGACTTCGCCAGTCTTCTTGCAACGGAACGTTTTGTGCCTCTATCGTAGCCCAGAAACTTTTGGGGCTAACACGCCCGATAGAGGCAACAAGCCGGCTGATTCCGGTTAAACGGGGATTCTCCGCCAGTGGATCAAACCCGTTACGAGTCAAGGACACAGGGATCACGTACGGCTAACGTGTCCTGCGAGGAAAGGGCCGTTACAGGCGACATGAATTAATAATAATCTTGACGAGAGTTTTGAGGTCGACGTCGTAACTCTGAGATGGCGGATAAGTGAAGATAGACGAAGGGAAGGTCTCCTTAAGTTTTGCGGGTATTAGCCGTCTGACTATCCAGGTGCGTCTCTCTGTCGATGTTGCTCACTTGGCAGATGCATAAGGCCATGTTTTAGGCAACGTGGTCATATAGTAGATATTTTGGTGTGTTCACAATCCTGCCATCGATTTATATTTTACGATAGCCATATTGTATCGTCGAGGATGGCAGTTACAGTTGTAACGAGGGACGAGATGATTGACTGAGTTCTACAGCGGCGCCATAAATCCGCATATCCTGACCTATACAGTGACCTTGAAAGGAAGGTATCGGATTCTAGAAAACGACCTAGTTTAGATCAAAACGGGAAGACGCTGGAAGAAAATGTACAATCTCTAAGATAATGTGTAAAGTAAATATGAATACTGAAACTTCAAGATTGAATGCCGATGCCGCGTGCCAGAGAAGTGTCAGCCTATTGCGGGTAAAAGTTTTTGTGGTTATAGGCTTCGAAAGCTGTCAACTGAACTCGACCCTTAATTTGGGAACATAAAGGATTTCGTTGTGATACCCTTTAATACACCACATCATACCCACGGGTCGCATATTTCCGGTCTGTCATTAACCAGCGACCGTGCAAAGAGTAGAAAATAAATAGTGTTTCATCGCTTTGGGAAGTTGTATGGTTACTAAGATCGATGTGTACCTATTATATTGAGACGTCGAACCTAACGTTTTCAAGTACAGTTGGCTCTTAACAAATAGCCCTAAACACCTGTAACGAGGAGGACTGCATTTGGCCTGTGCGGTAGTTTTACGGATCCCTCGGCTGCGTTTCAATTGCATGTGGGTTGGGTGTTTGAGGTGTCGTGATTATTTGGTTTAACAATGTGCATTTATTTCTGTGGCTTTGTTATGGACTACTTGTTGAAATCAGTGCAGTTGTCTTACGGCTAAATTTCTGCAGACTGATTATAATGCTTTCTAAGTACCGTAGAATTTTTAAAGAAAAAACCTTGAACCTTATTTGGAAACTGTTGGGCCGATTTAACGGTAAACGTTTCTCTTCGAGTAGCTGTGATGTGGTCGTAGCTTATTCACATAAACGTCTGAAGCTCGTAATCTTCGTGGTACGCAGTCGCGTTGTGTACAATCGATTTTATCAAGTAAGTAGTCTAATAGATGGATTTGGGATCCTTGGTAGGGACGCCACACGTTAACACTACCAAAGATTTTTCGGTAAAATTTAAACTGAATCTAAAATTCAATATATATATATATAGTAGTGACGAGCAAAAAAAAAGGGTTCAGAAGGACATTTTGTTAACGCTTACTGGTCAAATTTTTGTTCTTTGAAAACTACAGCGCTGCGGAAATTCATCGAAGATTAGTGAAGACATTGGCCAAACAGGCCTTAAGCTTTTTAAGAACGGAAATAGGAGTGTTGAAGACTAGCAAGTAGATGGTCAAATGTCACGACTCGAAAGACGAGAACGCATTACCGCAATCGAAAAAGTTTTTCGCGAAATCAGAGCTTAGTTTTGTTGGTAAAAACTGGTATCCCACATGTAACGTCTTACAGAATTATAATCCAGATATTGAACGTACGATAACTGGGTACAACATAGATCCCCGTGAAGCAACTCCAGGCCAGTTAAAAGGGTGCTGCATTATTCCATGTGCGGTTTCACATTGCAGAATTTGCGATCTCTATAAACGACGTATGGGTCGGTTTTTACCGCCAGCTAAAGGGCGACCAGGCGAGATAATAACGTTTTCCTGCGAAAAAATCGAGTTCGGTAGCAGTGTCAAGTAGATTCGGACGTGAGGTAATGGCAGTTGCCATGGGCACCAGGGGTATCTATCTGCAAGTGTTAGGAATTCGCTAAAAATAAATAATGAATGCAGCCCGCTATCTCGACTTCCTCAAGAGACTCATGGACCGTTGGCACGGCACTCGAAAGTACGTAGTCTGGTTACTTGATGATAACACCAGACTCCATGGTCGTGCCTCAATTACTCTCTAAATTGAGCCAAGGAATATCTAACATTGGTTTCAACTCGCTTATTCTCCCAATCTAAATCGGTGTGATTACGGGGCTTTCTATGTACTGAGGTGGACAACTAATGGGCAAGCACAACCACTATCAGTTCACTTCAAGCAGCAATAACTAATGAAATTATATGTACAAATGGTAAGTACATGATTTTTTAGAAGCTAATTTTCATATAGCACATATATGGGTCACTTCGTTTTTTTTTTCTAGCAAGGGAACATTTATCTTAAATTCTAGTATTATCAAACTTAGTTTTCACATACAATGCACTGGTGATAAAATTAGCATAATCCGCATTACACTCAAAAGCTAGTGCTTTATAGGACCGGTAAATACTTCGTCTCGTCCTCCTCACCAAAGTTACATCGTTAAAAACAAATTGAAAACAAGCTGGTACGTTATGCAAAGGTGGTCACGCTGCGATGTATAGGTTGTCGTTAATGTAGTACATGAAATAGATGTTCTTACCTTGTTGGCAACATAGCACGCATCGTTCGGCTAAAATGTTATTGCGCATATGATTTATGCATAAGAATGATAGTTAGGTAACTTTTAGTTCGGCCAAGTTAGTTTTGGAGAATGGGGCCCACATTGCCATTTCCTATTTTCTCCTATCGAACGACATGCAATGTGTGGATACAGCCATTCAGAAGCCGATTTCACACTTCGCAGTAAAATTTCATGTAAACTTGTGATGGACCAGTCAGATTCCTTGACCTGGCTGTGAACTACTATAGAGCATTGGCATTTCCCGCCGCAACCATAACCTTTTCTTAAAAAAAAAAAAAAAAACGTTTGATGTCTGATTCTTTCGCACGAGCTCATTAGTGGTCTGTGTAACCCTACCTTGTGGGTCTATATAGAGCTCGCATATTGGTCGTGTAAAGACGACTAGATTGGAATAATGCTCTAGGGCCTTGGAGCATTCTATTTATCCGATAGTCCTGTAAAGTCTGCCGCTTGCTTTATTAGCCAAAAAAATAAAAAATAAGCTTTTCAGTAGGCCTCAAATTTTTCATTTAATAAGGCTTCTTCTTCGGCTATTTGCCGAATTTTTATAGTCTAAAGAGATCTGTATATACATATTTATATGCAAAGCCTAGATTACCTGTGGATTGATCCAGTGGTAAATTTAGATGCAGCCAAGCCAAAATCTACTTTTTCTTTTCATAATTTCCATTTATTCGATTAAAAAATTAAGAGTTTTAAAGGAATAATTACAAAAAGAATCAGTAGACCAGGCAAGGTGGGCCACCTGGTTCATCGCTGCTTATGCCGAACTGTATACCGCTCTGTATGAAATGTGTCAAACATTAATCTCACCTTTTAGGTTTACTTTATAGTAGTGCCATACATAGTTTTTTTTCCATTCAAAATAAACTTGGACTTATTGAAAGCTGAAATTGGTCACTCGTATATCTTCAGTGAGGTTTTTATTGCAATGAATCAGAGAAAATCAAAAGCTTGAGCAGATCACGAATATCAGTTCCGTATCAGGAACCACAGTGGCAGAGACAGCTGGCCATATAAACTTCTTATTTATTTAATCAAGACTTTACTGCTAGAAATAGTTTGAGCAGTTGGTTAAAAAATATAGAGAAGGAAATTTCAAACTTTCGGAGAGAAAACCGGAACATGAGTTTCGCGGACGTAAATACTGAATAAGAGTCGTTATGAAAGCTGACTGGCCTCAAAGTACACACATATTAATACTCAGGTTTGGTATATGTAAAACTATAACACTTATTAACTTTATCAAACTAATTTTACAAAAAAAAAAAAAAAGTGGCCAAATATGCACCATACGATTGGCTTCTTTATCTTGTATCATTAGTTTTGCCCTTACTTATGGTTGACTTTACTTTTAATCTGACTGTTTTATACTGATACCTGAAGAGGTCAACAGCAGGCGGCAAATTTTCTTTCAGTGCAATAGCAGGAGTGGTTCAAGTTACCCGGGCTTAATGTAATAAGTTAAATCAGACTTACGCCTAAGTTTACGCCTGATTTTTATGTGTACTGTGAAGGTTTTTTACAATAAAGTTTTTGCGTACTGATTAAAGTATTTGTTATTTCTTACAATGTGGATAGTTTTTTTTTTACTAAATAACCGGAGTCAAAGCGTCGTCCAACTTTGGTTATTTGAAGGTAACATTTTTTGGGAACTAAAAATGTCAGCGGGGTTTAGGCAGATATTTAAAAAAAATATTATATATTCGTATTAATATTAAGCTACTTCGTTATGGTATACTCGATTGTGATGAAATAATACATTTTTCGTATTAGTTATAGGATAAGTACGATGCATCAACTACTGCAAACGTATTGTCGCCTCACCGGATGCCTGAAGACTGTTCGTGCCTGTAACAATAGTGTCAAAAATACCTCAGCTTTTCGAACGAACCCGTGGCGCCGCGTCCTCTAACGGTATAATGAAAAAAGCTTATGAGACCACTAAAACTTACATAAACGGGGGTCTGAGGTCGCGTAGCAATTAGGTCCTATATCATTAATTGATCTTAGTTGATGACAATTCAGATATTTTGTGAAATAAAATGCAGTCTCTTGCCGTGAGGCAAATTGTCTCTGTACAAAACCTGTACTTAGATTTTGAGGGGCCTCATCGTTTTTGAGTCCTTTTTACGTATTTCTTACTAATCACTCCAAGTATCGAATGGCATAACGGGCTGACGCGACGCAAAAAATGTGGTTATTGTCTATTTCTTGTTTTTGTCCATTTTATATGCCTACCGTATTTGAACGCTCAACGAATTTCTTTTGCAGTAACTTGGAAATAACAGTGACGTTCTGCAGGCAACCACGGGCTCGATGCGCACACCCATGGCTCGTTCCGGTAAGCCTTACAGCGCGCCTTATTAACAGTTGAATTTTTGTAGCAAGTGATTCTGAATACTTTTATACGTTTGCGTATATGCTACATGCAAGTCCTAAACATATAAGGTATATTTACAACGGTTATTTACTACTTGTGAAATTAAATGTCTGCAGCGCGTTATGAGCTTTTTATCTTTTTTGTACTCCTTTTTCAATGATTAATATTTCTTTTCTATTTAAAATCGTCTGGTCGTTTAATTTATATTCATTATTTAGCTTATTGTATCGAGCCTTACATCACGGGTATTTTACTCAGTGATTTTTGCAAAATCGCGAGCACAAATTTCCGGAAGGGCATGCTCTCGCCTCGTAGCATATCTGGCATGTCATAGCTTTTGTGAGAACAATAATGACCACAACCTAATAAAAATTCGTGTTATTACCCATAGGACCGGCAGACGCCAGTACAGCTTCCTGCAGCTGAAACGCGAAGCCGCCCTATCGATATACCTGAACCTTCAGAAATTTCAGAATATCAGAGCAGACTCCTAGCAGAGTCTGCTCAAACTGCGCACGCGACCCTAGTAAAAGGTGCCAATGGATATCGTGGGAAAGTACTTCTGTCCACGTCTGGTCGACTACCTCGTTGTTGTTGGCGCCAGCTCCAACCATCACAAGAAGGTTGGAAGTATTGCAATTATTTGTTAATGGCTGAGCTCATTGTGCGCTAAACAGTTAATATATTAGCTTCTACAAGCGTTACGTTTGTCCTAAATGGGCATATGACCTCACTAGCCTCCATCGTGTTCCCAAGCCTAAACTGGTTTACCTACTTTTGCATGTGGGGTTCCATTATCGAGGGGGTGTTATCGAAGGGGTACTGTTATATACAAATGACAACTGATGATAAATTACGAATAGCTTATTTTATTCTTAGGAGGTTGAGATAAGAATAATGGGTCCTACTTATGATCCTTGAAGCGGATACCGATCAGTATTATAAAAATTAAAACAATTAATTTTATTATTGTTCCTTTTAAATTATCTCATGCTATCTGGCTGTGTACATTTTATTCAGGTTCAACTGCCCAAGTTACTTCGCCGTTATCCCATAACCGACCACCAGGATTTCGCGTTGCCGCACGATGTCTGCTACTTCTGTCAACCGGAAGGCTGCCAGCTACGCGGAGCTAAACAGCTGGGAGCACGCGATTTTGAGCCATTTGTGTTCTCGCTCACTGAGAAAGACTCGTCTCGGGTTCGTTATGGAGTCTGTGTGAACTTACAACGGCGGCTATCGCACGCCCCCGCTCCGTCGGGGTCAGTTTGTGGCGCATCAGGCGCGCCAGCGTTGACCCATCGAGCCCCTCAATTCAGCCTGACGTCTTTCTGCGTCATATCGCATCATCCGTTTTTTTCGACCTTTCGCGAGTGTCTCGTTGAGCTCAAAAAAATCCTTGATACATTCAGTGAAGCCGGTGTAAAATGCACCTGCCAACAGCTTTGTAACAAGTAGGTTGAAAATTCGAACGCCGTTTCCGGTTTAACCTATTCAACGTATGAACACTTAGATATGATACATTTACTTTAATATGGTTATAACAGCAACCGGTAGAAGGTCTTAGTGAACTGTGAACTGCAGAGCAAAATTGTTCTCATGATCTTATGATGAATGAATGAATGATTATCTTGGTCGATAGTTTCAACAAATTATATCTGTTGATGTGACCTATCGTGAGGCCTTTTCCGGGGCTCAAATCGTATCGATTAGTACAGCGGTAACTTTCATTGAGCGGCGTACTCGTTGTTCCATTCAACGGTGAAAGTGGACGAAGCGTTGATTTATAGACATGGGAAGGCTTTTTAGTCCTAATCTTGTGCAATGCACTTTGTGGTAATTTTTGGAAAAATCTTTACGTTCCCTTACGTACAATGTTGATATTTAATCCTATTGTTATCGTTATTTTTAAAAATAAATGCATGATAAAAACTTTAAGCAACTATATTTTTCTTTATCATAAAGCGGGTTTTATATTGGCTAACGATTGTTTAAAGGTCTACGGGAAGGTACATGAGAACGATATGGTCAGATCGTTTTGATATAAATCATTGTAGTCAAGTTCGTTTATCATCAATTATAAATTAATAAGTTCCTCTGTCCGCAATGCCGATAGATGAGAATTTTACATGATTCCATTGTGCATGGATCATGTGTAAGAACGTAGGCCATCGTTTAAGGAGATCTTTTCAACAACACAACGATTTACAGGGATCCACTATGGGAAGTGTTCGTTTCACCCGATGTGGCTACGGCAACCCTTTGTCCCGCCCTCCTGGAGGTGATTCAGGAGATCGAGAAGTGGATCCTACGACTTCTTTCGTTACCTGTGCCCGTGCCTGAGAGGACCAAAATCGAGGTAAGGAACGCCCTTCCAGTCACGTACCTTCACAGAGTTACTTGCTATTATTTATTATACATATTATTATAATAATAATAATAGCACATAGTTATAAATAAAACGAGTAAATATTTTCTTGCGAGATACATTTATGTCTGTCGAAGCTAATTTTCTACGTATCATTCTAACGTCCCTTCCAGGTGGAGCTACTTTCTCTAACCCGACGCGAACAGCCAGTTGTATTTGCGCTCCCAGATCATAAACGTTTCTCTTTGCTTGATTTTCCCGTTCACTTGCCGCTGGAGCTATTGGGAGTCGACAACTGCATTGAAGTACTCAAATGTATACTGCTTGAAAACAAGGTAGTCATTTTCCACTACGCCTTAAATGGTTCCCTTTAAACCTATACGCGCTTTTTGCATCCGAGTTTTTGTTCAGTGAAACTAGATAGAGCTATATTGTTTATCGTTACAACCTGCGGTAAATCTCATCATATCTTCCTTGCTTTGTGGTGACGCAGCGACAAGCTATTCGTCTGGTATACTTAGGAGCATATATGAATTATAGGTTTGTTTGTCTCGTATCGGAAATAGGCCGTTTTGGCACAATGTTGAAGTTCTTCCTGAGGTAAGATTAAAGACATCGTCGAAAAAGGAAAATGATGGAGTAGCTAGTAAAAAAAATGAGAATTGCATTATCCCTAAATAGACCTGTTTTATCGAAGCACTGTCCTGTTTTGAAGTTGACAGCCACTCATGACGCCGTGATAACGAATCTTCACGATAAAATCACATCTTCAGAAATAATTGTTTCGCAGAACCGTCTGAAAACTTCGACGAGTTTGTCTACCTTCTTAGGATGCTCTGGTGTTGCAGACCTTTATCTGTGCAAAAAAAGGCAGCTTTATATACGTCGAGATTGCGACCAGCCTAGAGGAGCTTACCACGGAGAACCAAGCATCCGCAACTCATTCATTGTTATTGTCTCGGTTACATAGTGGGATGTTTTTATAAAACGTTTGTTTATTGTCGAATATCTCGGTACCTGGCCGATTTTAACCGCTTTAATCAATCATACTCATTCCTTTTTGACTCTTACTTTTTGTCCCCTATAGGTGGTGATACAGTCTCACAATTATAACGCACTGTCAATTTCAATAATGTCTCTTGTGGCATTACTATATCCACTGGAATATATGTTTCCAGTGATTCCGCTGCTGCCGACCATCATTGATGCAGCCGAACAACTGCTATTAGCACCTACACCTTATATCATAGGTATGTCTACCTTTGTAAGTAAACTAACAATATGGCTGATGGGTAACCCATTGAGCCTGTTTGCCATTCTGCTATAGGTTGTAGTTTGACAATTATGCAGCCAGATACCTACACGTTTTCGGTATTAGTGGATAAATCTCATAATTGCTCGCATCTACGTACACTGCACTATTTTTGTAGTAACTATGAAAAAGTTCAGGCTCGGAAGCGACATGAAAAGCAACCTGTTAATCCGGTTAGCGAAATCCGCGTTAACAAATATCATCTTTAGCTAGAGTACGTAGCACCAGGTTCCGCGGATAGGTGTGGATCGAGTGGCTGTTATCTTTCGATTTTTGTCTTAACAGAGCGCACTTACCTATACCTGAGTCTATGTGGCATCTTTTTTTTTACATACGTACATTTTTCTCGTATGTATGTATGTATGTATAGATATGCCGATGTGATAATGTATACGCACACTATATAAGCTTTTTATAAAAAAAAAATTGCATTTGTTGCGTTACCACAGGGGTCCCGGCGTCGTTCTTTGCGTCGAAATCGAAACAGCTTCTATTGCCAAACGATGTTTGGCTGGTGGATTTGGATACTTGTACAATTACCCGACCGTCTGGATGCGAACCAATACCGCCCCTGCCGTATCCTGAGGGAGCGTTGCTTAGCGAGTATTTCAGTCAGGTAACTCGAATATGATTATCAACGTGGAGCATATTACGATCTGGTCGATCCTTTCCTTCGGAACAAAAACCATTCATTGACCTTGGTGCTATTCAAGTACATCTAATTTGTAAAGCGACCGTGTTCAGACGCGCAGTTCTCTTCAGGCCTATGGGTGCGCATAGGTTAAGATAGGACGCTTGTGCATTGGATAAGCCGCCGGAACACTTACCGCTCTGTTTTATTCTGTGCATACCGTATATGCTCCTAGTCGGTTCGCTTTCTCAAAATTCAAATGATGAAAAGACCAATTATGTGAATGAGTTACGTTTAAAGGTGGCTCATCGAACTTAGGATCAGAAATTTATTTGGAAGTTCACATCGAAGAATATACTGTTTGTTGCTTATCCTAATGTGCTACGAGAGGTTTATCGTTATTTAATGCAATGATAAGAAATGCTGAATATTTGTTCCAGTTATTGGGCTCCATGAAGGTTCAAAGCTCCAGTCCGGTGGTCCTTGACGCAGATACCGTTGATGTTGCCATCCGGGTTTCGTTGGTCAAATTCTTCAACTCGCCAGGCGTGCTTCAAAATGTCCTTGAGCACACACGGACGTTACGCCTCTACCCGCGGCCCGTCGTAGCATTCCAAGTAAACAGTTTCCTGATGTCACGCGCACGTGATGGCGAACCACCGCCGTTCCTGCGCAAGCTCGTTCGAACGCAGGCCGTCGAGTACTTCATCGAGTGGGCGCTCAAACCTTCAAATGTGGCTTTCGAAAGAATCAATACAGGTATGATAAATTTCTATTGTAGAAACCTAACTCAAAAGCTGCGTATAATATTATTCGTATAAGCTTCTGCGAACTGATTACGGTCGGAACAGGAACTCATATATGACCCAACTGATCCATTGCTATCAGAAAGTCAGCGTCTTGTCAAAAACTAATTGTGCAATTTTTTTTTTTTACTGGCATGCTTCCAGGCATATCCGATGCTATGACGATTGGCGATAAACCAAAATGGTACAGCGATGAGTTGGAAGCTATCCAAGTGGCTGTTTGGAGCGAAAAGCTCGAGGCGCTGCTCAGAGACATCCAGGAACGAAGCCGAAAACAGGACGCTGAAAGTGGGTGTGAAAGCGAACCCTTTTCCTCAGATGATGACGAGGATGCAGTCGAACTTAATGGGGAGCAAACCCAACAACCTATGTTTGTTCGAACAGGTTAGTGTGCTATTGTACCCAAGTATGTGTGTGTGAAATAGACTGAACATAACGATGTGTTATTTCACCGATGCATACTTTGTGCAGAAGCATAGCGCTAAGTGAAACGCGCGTATTTGTTTTGTTACATACAGTATGTATCTGCCAAGTGTCGAAGCCTTTTAGGTTAGGTCGGAAAAGATAATCCGACGAAAAGTAACTGCAAAAGCAGTCAGAACCTCGGCTCCTTTTTCTACTTGTATACTAATGCTCAGTTCTACTAATCAAACTATACGTGTAGATATTTTTCTTTCGGACGACTAAGCCTCTGGCTTGAAGGAACAGAGAGATAAAGCCACTGGCCCAAGGGCCACTAATGACACCTACTAGAACACCTGCACGAATAAAGGATTTCTTTTATATCTATTTTTCGTCGTCCTATGCAATAGATTCAATGGCGGAAAAGCAAATCGAAGAGCGGCAGAATCCAACGGGTGCCTTTCCAGTTTTCTTTGATCATTCACTGATTTACCAGCCTCCAACCCAGCTCGTTGTGCCTGGCACGCCTTCGTCGCAACACACAGCCAGGGAACGCCGCGATTCATTTAGCGACAGTTCACTCTCTGACAACAACAATGAGGATCAGCAAACGCAACAAATCAACAATAATCAAAAGATAGGAACGCAACAGGCAGCTGTGCAGAAAAACAATAAATCTGACGATGCGGCCAGAGTTGGTAGCGGGCTTGAACGTGGGAAGATACGAGCCAAACAAAGGCCAGTAGGTCGTCGGGGCAGAGGTGGCGATCGATCAACACAGGCATCAGGAGAACAACATGGCAGTAGCAGTAGTTATGACGAGGATTCTGATGATGGAGTGAGGAGCGGTTAGTACACATCATTAGAGAATGTTGTGAGTTTATTGAAGGGCCATTTCTTGCCCGTTGTCCCAGTTGGATAATAACTATATATTTGATAAAGCTATAACTTACGTACTTGTAAAGACGCAAAGGACAACTAAAGTTATACCAATAGGAGGCACTGATGCACTCAGCTCGGACATTAACCACATTTATTCTTCAAATATGGTTTACGTGTAGAAACAAACCTTTTACTCACGTAGTGGAAGTAGATCATTATCCTCGGGGAAATATTTCTATTGATCGCGGTAGAACTTAATTTTCGAGCATTGCCTAGCGTCCGTTACAGGTCGCAAGACACTCTACTATATAACTACATCGTTGTGTTTGCCGAAACAATATTGTGTCTTGAACAGATAACTTATATGCACAGCATAAAATTGCCAATTTAAAGGTAATTGCATCTTGTAGAAGATGCCGCAAGCTGACATATGACAAACATTATTGCTTTATAACGCTCGCAAAAGGTATGGTGACTGTCAAGGTAAAATTGTTGACCGCTAACGGCTTCTCCGTTTAAATCGCGATGGCGTAACTAAGATCGCCTTTTTGGTTGAACTTAGATTTCTTAATTCCGCTGCAAAAATTATTAATACATAGTGATGGTGCGGCTGCTTCCACCAATGAAACCAAAAAGTACGCACGGTCCTTTAACTAAAAATGTCAATTTACATTCTACTAGAAAAATAAGTTCCTACATTCCTGTTTGTGCAGATGAATCAGGAGACGAGAATGAGTTCAGTCAGGACATGGAACAAGCCGCTGAAAAAATCGCCAAGAAATTAAGCGGAGTGTTATACCGGGCTGGGTCGCTCGGACAGAACGCGCAGAGCAAAAATGCCCATCTCATTGAAAAAATGATCAAGGCGAAGGAAGGATTTGGCAAGGTAGCATTTTTCCTATGTAAATTTTGTTTATAAATAATTTTTATGTACTGAATTCCTCGAAGCAATCAAATTTCATACAAATACTCAACTTGTCCCGGATTCTTTGCCCGGGTCATTTGCAGGCGAACAGAGCTGCTGAAGAATTTGCTAAGACAGCAGCAAGTGCCAGTAAAAAAAAGTTTGCACAAGCACTCAGTGGCGACCGAATGGCAGAAGCGAAGGGGATACTAAATGAAAGTGGACTCGACCGGGTCGCGGATCAAACGAAGGAAATCGCCGATCAAACAAAGAGTGTCATTTCCGGCCTCATCGGTACGTGTTAACCTGTCTTTTTTCATAAGGTCCTATTTTTACTATGATAGCATCCTTTTAGATCTATTTGTCTTGGGTCTACCCGTGCTTACTGGGGGTTACAACTTTACTATTAGAATTTGTATACGTGCTTGAGTTTCCAAGTGGCAAGGACGTCAATACTGTACAAAGATAATACGAAAAATATTAATGTGAAACGTTTTTATCGATAATCTACAAAATTAAAGCTTGCCGACCTCAAATTTGCCTACTCTTTAATCGGATCATTCTATATTGTGAATAGCACATATATTTGAGTTATAGATATCTTAATGGCATTATGAACACAATGATTGATGTTGAAATGTATTGGTCCAATTTTGTACGACGTCAAGAAATCGTGCTTTTCTTTATTCCTTCAGACCGAAGTAAATTTAAACTTATCGCTGTTTTATACTCGTTCTTTAAGGCAAAACTAAGGAGAAATCAGAACCACTAGGACCTATGGCAAAAGCCCAATTTAGCAAATTTTCACATCACCATCAGGGTGGAGACCGTAGGTCAAGCGGTGGAAATCGCGCCAGCCGCAGTTCGCTTGAGGCGAGGTATGTGATCATAACGTGTATTCCAGGCTTGGAAAGGGAGCAGCACAGGGCTTGCAAAGCATCGTTAGGACTGAACTTGTAAAATTAAGCCCTGTAGCTTGAGATTGATATGGTGATTCCTTAAATACTGCCGGATGGTAATATTAAGGCTTACTTAGAAATTTATCATATTTTCCCCCCATACGCAGGACAGCTCAACTGCTTAACTCAAGATTATTCATAGAAATGCGCAAGCATAAAAGCTGACAATAATTTAGAACACATTGCCTGCTACATAGATACGATACTGTCGATTTATCTAACGTGGATACGGGGTAACGGCTTGTTATTACCTGGTTGATCGAGAATAGTGAACAACAAAAATTCTTGTTGGAAGTCGTCACGGGCGTAGCGGAAGGCAAGGGTCTGAAGTTCTTGCAACAAGGACGCATTAAGCAGCTGATGGCTAGTGAAGGTCATCGGAACTTCGTGCTATCGAAACTGAACAAGGCGTTCGAGCACAAGGTGGGCCCTGATGACTACATCGAGGACGTGCGTATCTCCAAAGATGTCTTTAAAGGCACAGTAAAGATGCTTGCGTATATAGTAGAAGGTCTTGAAAATGACTACCAGAGATGCGGCACCGTAGGCATCGCAAGTGCCATGCAGGTCAGTGTGTACAACAGATTAACGAAAGAACAAGCCCTTCAATCTCCAACAACTTCTAGACGTTGCTAGCTTTTCACCACCCAGTCTTGTTTACAGCTTGTTTTGTATGTAAAAAGTGTAGGAATGGCTAGCGCTAGAAGGAAGAAGAAAGGAAAGCGCTAGAATTCGTTTGACGAAGAGCTATCACCTGGCCGAGTTACTTCCTCCATACATTGCCAATTTGCTGAATCGTGTTTTTCACAGTATCGCTTGTTTACTAAAAACTGAGTTAAATTATAATAGATTAGAGTTAATTACGAACTTCGGCGCACAGCGCAGACATCTACTTCGCTCTAGAGAGAAATTTCTTTGTAATTCTCAGGTACTTGAGATTGCCCACACGCATTATCATGACACATTAGGAGGAAGCCGGAGCAGTAGAGGTAGTTTGAGCCATAACATTTTAGGATCGACAAGCAATCAGAGTCTCTCGCAGTTGAGCGCGCAGTCCGCGATATCCACGGATACCATCTATCCCTCTGCTACGGGCCAAGGTAAGTTGGTAACGAATACAAGATATTTTAGGTCTGTGGTCATGACCTACAGTTTAACAGCCTATTAATAATGCTAAAATTATCATTATTGTTTTCTATCAGCCGGACAACAGAGCACAAATTACTAAAATCCTCGTTGTCCGCAAATAGAAATGGTCGCTCCCGATTACTTGTTTCAATCTCCGATTCGTCTCATTAGTTTTTTGAAGCACAAGACAACACAAATTCAGAATACGTACTCAATTATCGAGGCGTGGTTTGAAGAACTGGAGACCGAATGACAATATATAGGGCTCATGAGGAAGTAGAATTCGAATATAATGAAGGGTTGGCACGGGCAGAGATCCATCGCGTCGGTTACCTCTTTAGCCTGTTTCTCATCCATCTAGTGCGGGCAAAATGTCCTGCATACATTTTGCAATGCTTGCTACTTAGACTCTACGTAGTTCCTTATAGTGATATCCACTAGGTCGAGTAAATGCGCACTGTTTCAAAGTATTGATTGGTGGGTGTATAATCTACTATGATATGATGCAGAATTTACAGAGTTATGTATTTTTTCTCATTGTTGTAGGGGGACAAGAGACTCTTGGACGAAGCAGCGGACGACCATCGTTAGACCTGGGCGGTATGGGAAGAGGTCTGTTTTCGCGTGGGGGAAACGTGCTTTTTCGAGTAGATGCTATCAGTGATTCGTCGACGTCGGAGATGTTCAAAAGTGGACTTTCCAGCATGCGACGAATGATGAACAAAATATCTAACAATAACCAGGTGCGTCGCGATATGGCGTCAGGACACTGCAGGACCTATAACATATAGCTATCGATAAAAATAATTGTGTTATTAACTTCTTAATTGGTTTCATAAAACTCTATGTTAGGCTGTATGTGCGCGGCTATTTCGACATGTTATAATATTGAATTTCTACGGATGCTAATCTCATAGTAGGGCGTTCCTAAACTTCACACTAATCGAAACCCATGCGGACTTTTTTTTCAATCGCACTTTTCACTTTGGCTGAACCTCTTTATAACTTAGTAGTATCTTCTGCGCGCTTTGCATGGCTGGGCCTTCAACTCATCTGTCTCCGTATTGGGGTAGAACATAAGTGAATTCGTATTTTTAAGCTGGTTAGTCAATACGATGTCTTTTTTTAAGTTACATATGTGCGAGGTGTGATTCTTATTGGCTGTCCAAGGACTATTGTGTTTGGCATTCCCGCGGTTAGGGGCAAATCACAAAAGATGCTTATCTAAATGTATATATTCCAGGAGCATTTACCTAACCCCTAAGCTGAGTGGGCCCACACATCCCCGTATGCACCAAAACGTTAGCCTTCCTGTACGCGCTTTTTCCAAAAACAAACAACACAAAAAAGCCTTTCTTTTAGCTGTTCAAATCTTACTAGAAATTTGCAATGAATACACAAAAGTACATGTACATTTATCCATCTTCATATTATGAAGACAATATGAAGGCGTTTTTAAAACAGAATAGAAATCTTGCTAACAGAATAAACAAATAAGGTAAAATACATAACGCAGAGCGAGAGAATTGTATTTTTCTATGCGTCGCGTCATTGAAGGAACAAGTCTTCGGATACGAGCTGCGTGATATCCCCCAGAGATGCCTACTCATCGGCACAAATGTACCCCTTTTCGTGGCAAGATTCATTAGTATATACAACATGGGACAACTTACGCACTGCATAGCAAGCTATCACACATCGGTTCGTTTTAAGTCGTTCCTTTCCTGTTCCATCCACTATAGCATCAGTGGCAAAGAACCAGGAGTTGACCTCTGTTCCTCCGGTCGACTCGGTCGAATGTATTCCAGGTACAAGCGCGCTTTGTTAAGCTAAACTGGCATTGTAAATTTTCACCTAAAAATGCAGGCTTCATCCGGTCTAGCCTAGACAACTGATTCTCCCAGGTCAATTTAATATTATATGTGCCCATTGGCGCGAGCTTGATATTGAAAAGGCGTATTTTCGTATTCAGGGGCATAACGACGGCTTTTATATAGGGCTCTCTATTAATGTTTTTCTGACGTTGCGACGCATGCTCGGAGCAGCAAGTTCCGAAGCAAAATAAAATTAGCTCTAAATAGTAAAAATGTTTCACGCAATTTGAGGCAAAATGTGTAACAGAAGAATGTCGTTTGCTCTCAGTAGACCCACTTTTCGAAACTTGATGACTTCCTGTTTTGTCCAAAGTTATTCCTAAACCGGCATTCGTTACGTATTGCCGAAGGTGCGTCAATCTTTGTAGAACATCAGAGTGACTTATCTACCGATCGCGAGGTCATCGGCATACAGCAAATATCCGCTCTTACGGGCTTGAGCTTCTCGATTATGTTGCTCGGAGAATAGTCCAAATGGACTGGGATGAGTAGGGGGTTGGGGCTGTCGCCATTCCTGTTATCTACCATAAGGGGTCCAGTTCCGCCAAGCCGCCTTATATCGAAATAAGATTCTCTTGCAGAATCGAAACAATGAATTGGAGGAGTCGTGCCCCGAAGAGCTGGAGCAAAATCCGGTCGCCTTGAATGTCGTTCTCACCGTATAGATGAATCGTCTGCTTCTTTTTCTGCTTATGAGGCATCTTAGCTGGGCAGGTAATCGGTGTTGACTTCCCTCTATGGAAGCCATGTTTTTTTTTTTATCTGGGATAATGCCTCGAGTTTCTAGGAAAGTATGGTGGAAATCACTTTGTAACAATTTTTTTTATCAGAGCTTTCCTCGGTAAGATCGCCTTGACTTTCAAACAACGGTCCAGTATTCTGCTATAATGTAGACAGGTGTTGAACAAAGCATTTCAGCAGTACTGCTTTTTTGAAGTGTTTAGGCCTAATTCAATCTGGATCGGACGCCTTGTTAAACTTGAGCCACTGGATCGTTGCCAATACCTAATCTGGCTTGTCTGCTCGCTGCCTACTACAGTGGCTCTCTGAGTACAATGCTCCTGGAAACGTACATCTACTAAAAATAAGCAATAAGGATGCCTCATTTTATAAAACAAGAACGAGACCCAGACCGTCGCAGCCGTTTCTATGTGAACGTTGGACCGCCTCGAGCAAAAGATCGATTTTTGCCTGTCACTTTCCTCGTTCGATCCGGTAGACCCGTTGACAACCCTTGCGTAGTGTATTGGAAAGAGGACGCATGGCATAAGTATATGTAAAAACATGAACAGGAACCCCCCCTAATTTCTCAAAATAAAGAGAGCAACGCATGACGTGAGTTAATAAATTATCATTTATCAAATTTAGTAGATAGAACCGTTTATTTTAAAATAGATACTACTCAACAGACCATATAATAACTTATTATATAATAATATACACTTTCACTTGATTTTTTACAGTTACACAATTTGGATACACCAATAAAATTTACTGTAAAGCATGACCTGCAATTGTTTACTTTATCGATTCATGTTTGTTTCGAACTAAGCCTTTAGTTCAAATCTATGGCCTTTTTGTAAATTGAGTCTCAGCCTGTGCTGATTGGAGAAACATTCAGCAAATGGCTATGGATAGCTGACATCAATACCACGTAGGAGCTAAAAGCGAGAAGTTGATGATATAAAGCTGTACAGAGAATAAAAGGCTTCCATCGACGTATCGTTCGTAGCAAATACATTAGTTCCAAATCAAGTGAGAGTTAAAATAAATTTTGGAATATATCTCAGTATTGTTAGTAACTAGCCTAATGAAGGATTGCAGCCTAATTGGCAGGCCTTGCAAATCACGATACGTTCATAACAGTTCAGCTCGCGGCTTTATTTTCCTAAAAGAGAAAACCTAAAGACAACATAACAGGTTTTTCGGGGTAAAGGGAATATTTGAGACTCCTCTAGCCTTTTCCATATGAATTGTTTATGAATTAGAAGCAAGATGAGAACTATGGAGAGCACAAACAAGTATATATATTAAGGTCTTTTCGAACTGTAAACAATTATATATTGAATTATAACATTGCACAGAGTTTGGTGGGAGAATCAGATAGTGCCAAACGGACCCTTTGGCTAATACCGTCAACTTTTCAGGTTCATAAATTGAAACAAGTTGATGCTGTTGAAAGTAGGCGTCTTTTAAAACTAGTCCCTTTTTATTGTGTTTCTATGTCTTCCTGACGGATTCCGTTATGTAAAAGGATGAAAACTATGAACTTCCTATGTGAAAAGGATGAAAACAGGAAGACAAAGATAGGCGAACATAAACGATATACGATAATAACAGCTCCGAGCCGCTTATGTATCATGTACACATGCTATACCTACATGTATTACATGTTCTGGCGTCTTGTTTCAGTCGGATGTATCAGAAACGGGTTCTATTTCGACAAATCCTATGTTCCTACAGCGCAAAGAGCGAAAGGGTTCGGCCGCGAGGTCAGCAATCTCCGATGGTGACGCTGACCTGGTGGGTACTGCTGAACAGCCAACCACAATAATGTAATATAAATGACAACTAGTGAAGTAGCGTGTAGTAGTAAAATGTGAAGTAGCGACATCTCACGACCTCAAGTTTCGTTACAAAATCGAGTATCGAGAAGTTGTGGCGAGCTCATATAGATACAAGAAAGAACGTATGTCTAACGCCTTTGCTATTCGTACCTACTTATACTTCCACTATTTCTCTTGGTTAGTTTTAACGTCGTTGGTTTTCTTTTGCTCGATTTCTTTGTTTTCCTCGTTCCGATTGTATGGTCTAGTAGTAGTAGGACCTCAATATTATGGTCCATGCCAGACAGATTTCTTTAGCATACATTTAGCCCGCCATTTTTCGTGTTCCTTTTACCAATGCATAGATACTAAGTGGTATCTTTTTTGCCGCTACAGGAACAACTTATGTGTGAATCGATGAATACTACTGAATGCTATAGTAAACTATAGAAACATGATTTTCGTTGATTGTCTCGGGAACTTTCTTTTATAACGTACGAAGCTGACCGGTCTGCAATCTATGTCGTGACAAACCTCTGGCACATTATTATAATTTGGCGTCCATTTATCTATTCGAAAAAAGATGCATCTAATATAACCTTAAAATCGCAAAGGGATATATCTAAACTGATGGACTAAATGTTTTAAATGTCTAAAGAAAAATTAAATTTCTGTTATCTTTAGCGGAAACTTCAGAATTCTCTAGATATTAGTCAAACACTCAGAAATATTCAGTTACTTTATATCTTAGCAATTATTATGTAACTCTACGTGAGACCTGAATGAAAATAACCTGACAGAAACACTACTAATTACACTAAGGGCAATGTTCCAAGACTCACAATAAGCATATGCTATATATATTTAAATGATCGAAAAATTTGATATTTCTTCTCATCTATGAATCGTCATAAAAAGACGTCAGGTTTAACAAATATCATTTAAATGTCATTAAAAAAAATGTAGTTCATACAAAATAAAACTTCTCGACAAGATTCCCCTTATAACGCAAAGCCTTAGGTTTGTTTAGTAAATCCTATATTTGCATTCTTTAGATAAAGGTGACGCTTCTGCAGTACAATGAGGTAGTACAAGTGCTATGTGATTTACTATGATCATCGTGACAGATGTCGTTAGGTGGATTTCGAAAAGAATCATTCTGGTGTGCAGGACGTCCAGTTACTGCAGGGACGCGAGCCCTTCCTCGCGTGTCAAGTGTTGAGCAACCCGAACGGGTCTATGTCTATCAGGAGCTCCTGAAAGAAAGAAGCTCTCTCTGGGATCACATGGAGTTCTGGGAAGACGTGTTTTATGACGCGGTGACTCAGGAACGGGATCTTATCGGGATGGATCAGAAACCCGGCGAAATGATGGAAAGGTTGGTGTGCATGCACGATGCATCACGTATGTTGATATATATATATATAGACATATGCATGGCAGTCTGTTCAGACAAAAAGTTCCTTCACAAACCCCCTTCATAACTGTTAATGCGATTTGCAGATATACAGGTTTGAACAATTCAGACCAAAAAAGACTACAGGAAGATGAAGACAGGTTGTTGGCCGTGGTCTTGCAAAATCTAATTGCGTTCATGCTGATGATGAGTGTCAACAAGGACCGAATTCGCCAAAAGGTAGCGCTGACAATTTCACTGACGTTGGCCAAAATAAATGAATGTTTCAAATTTAACGTTCAATACTGCCGTTAAGCATTAGTTCACTAAGGAAAACTCAAAAATATCCGAACTTTTTTGGCCTAGGCCACTTTGAAATGTTCAGAATATTGATGAGATATCATTTTAATTTTTCACTCTAAGAGCTTTCACAGAGTTGCGAAGATTAATGAATGTATGGACGTATTCATTGTTTTTGTTAAAAGAGATAGAATAGTACTGAAGAGTACACTTATTTAGAGAAAATGCGGTCAAAAATAGGACGGGACAGAGCTTATGACAATTCCTTATTGTTCATACTACCGAATGATAGCTCGATGCATTAGGCACTCGAATAGCTCGTAAAACTTGCAGATTTCGTCCTTCTGACAATGAAATAGTAATCTGATCTGGCGGACACTTTGACCTTCAATGATTTCATCTTTTAGGCTCTTCTAAGTTAATTATCGGTTGTTTAAGTCTGTTTGCTTCTTTCAATGTTGCGTCTACAGATCCGACGCTTGTTAGGCAAGTGCCACATATCACTGGCCTATAGCGCCGAAGTGAACGACGTCCTTGGCCAGCTGGACAGCCTTGATGGCAACGATCTAAACTTGAAGCCGTTAGCAAGTCAGCAAGTTCTACGACAGACGTTTACCGTTCGCTTTGGAAGCGATGCCGCCGAGACTACGCGGTTCATGGAGGTACGCACGAGCATCAGATATATACGTAGCCATGGATATAATATACACAGCCAGATATAATGACAGTAATAAAATTCATGATGTAAAATAGCCAGATATGATAAATATGCGCCGTGTTTGCCTCACCTAAACAATGCTTTCATATGCACACCTCCGTCCCGTATCCATCACTGAGTTTTTTTTTCGAAGTTCCTTATCAGAGTTTTCGTTTTATTCGATCGTCGTTTACATCAAGCATGCGTGTCATATCATGGTTCGGGTGATATTCTTGATTGAACACTTGATTACTAGGTGTCAACTGTTACGAAAGGTGGATCTTCTTAAATCCAGTTTCTTAAAAATTTAAAAATAAAGTTTATTAAAAATGTAAGTGTAGCTATATCTGGCTTTTTCCTCGCGAAGCCCGCTCGCAGCTGTATAAGTTTCAAAACAGTATCAACTTGAGTCCAGTTTTAAGTCAGATAGTGTATCGTAGATCGTAGGAAAGATGAGATAGCATCAACGTTAATACCACAAAGAACTCCAAGAGGAGAAATGAACAATGAGCCATATGCTCAGAGCAATAGGTCACGGCTGATATCAGTAATAGCGCTAGAAAATGATGTGTACTCTTCAGCTATTTGAACAGCAACATCACCGAATGAAAGAGGTTTCAGTTGTGAGTAGCTTCTGATTGCTGACGATAAATATCTTCCTCAAAAAGTGAAAATAGTCTAAGATGAGGTCAGTTTTTCATCTACAATACACCGTTTTCTCTCTATAAAATAGTGTTCTTCAAGACAATATGCTCATTTCCGCCCTCGCATTAGTCTTCAGCGAAGTTTTTTCGCAGCTTTTTGCCGTTCGAAGCCTGTTACAAAGCCTACCTTCAAGTAAGCATCTAAGCTTTGCTTACCCGCCAAGGGGTTCGTGCGCTGTCGTTCCGTTCGTGGGCTCAGGGGGCGAAAGGAATAGATCGACACTAGCCGTATATAATGTAGGTAGGAGATGCTTTTCTTTGATAGCGGATAGAAAACGTAATTCTATGATTGTTAGTATAAATAGTGTAAAAAAGGGGCTTTGTACTCGACATTTCCTTCAACAGATGTTCAATATTTTCGAAATTCGTATAGTGTTTCCTTTCGAAATAATGCAGTGTTTCACAATCGCATGAAAACCTATTTGATTTGGTCAAATGGACCCGTTGCCAGTTTCAAAAGTAGGAAAATATAAGAATAGCAGATTAGCTGCCACTTCTACCTGTCGTGTATATTATATATCTGGTTATTTTATGTGCAACTTGCTGTGTGCAGGTGTATAGTATATAAACAGTACTTCCTTGCTTCTATGCTTATGCCGCCGAAACTGCTTTATTGAAGTACTCCATAAAATCCGGAATTCGTTTTGCGCAAGGGCTTTTCCTTTTTTACTAGCTTTTAACTTGCGAAAAAGTTACATTACTCGGCCATATAAGCAATTCTAATGAAGGTTATTTTCAATAGTTGCAAGAAAAATGTTGCTTTTTAAGGTTTACATTCCCACCTGTCCCTATAACTATCTAGGAATTATTAAATTAAATAGTTTATTAATTGTCGCTAATAAATGACTTTGCGCTAATTCTAACAAGCACGTTTTATTCTCTTTCTCTTTTCTGATCCGTATATTTATATTATTTCGTTTATTATATATTGCGTTTCGTCTGCTATCTACTTATTTATTCGCTCTATTATCTCCGTATTTTGGTTTTCCCATCATTTGCTTTACCTGTCAATTAATCACTCTCTCTATATATAATCCTCCGCTACTTCGTACCTTTTATTTTCGTGTCTCTTTCGGCTGGATTGGGAACTTCGCCATCTGCCGCATCGCGTCCTGCTGCCTTGCCTTCGTCGCTTCGCCGCTCTGCCTGCATCTCATTTTTGTGCCTAAATCACCAACGTTTCCAATTTGACTTGATTTCATTCTAATTATCAAATGGCCGACTTTACTTATTGAAAAAATCTTCACGCCTTTTTCTGGCCGTGGGCTTGAATTAACGATATCGGTAACAACCTGACGAATCAATATTAATAATCGGTGATACTATTACTTATCTATTATCTGCGTCCTCTAACCGTCTTCATTTCTACTGATTCTATTTGTCACCTACCTTTATCTACAATATTCGACCCTACTTCGCACTATTTTCTTCACGACGGTCCTAATAACGTCTAACTGAAACCCCTTTGCCTACATTCGTTTTGCGCCTGTTAATCTATTCCCTTATGAATGACTGCTTCCTATTCCCCTTCATCCTGGTAACCTTGGCAGCGGACGCGTCACGCTCCCTTAGAACTTTGAATCTTCCCGCTTCGTATTCCGTTCATTACTTCTGTCGGGTGTCGATTCTGCATCGGTTTGGCCTCGCTTGAAATTGGCTTCTATTATACATTGGTTGCCCCTTTTGTGGCCTACAAAGCTGAGTCTTTTTTCAGTTTTTTTTTCAAATTATAGTATCTTCGTTGTGTGGTGGGGGAGGGGATAAAAGGAGGGAGTGGGCGGAAATAATTGACGTAAGTTCTCGAACACAACTAGTGGCATCGACATAATTACGATGCAGGTTCGGGAGGACGGCTTGATCGTTCGAGCAGCCAATGGCAGTATTGTCGAGCGGTATTTCTTCGAGCGCATCGTTAACATCACGTATTGCCCCACGAACAACGTACTCTGTCTATGGCGCCAGTCGGGCGCCGAGATGCAGCTACACAAGTACTACACATCGAAGTGCAAGAAACTCTACTATTGCATTAAGAGTGCCATGGACAACGCCATCAGCCGCGACGGGCTACACAAGCCGTTGCCGGACCTGGGAGGCGAGTTCCCCATCGAAGACATGCAGACGGGCGAAGGTGGTATCCTTCAGGTCTACGTGGATGGTGTGGGACTCCTTTTCGAAAACACCAAGGTGAATCACTATGCCATTCTCGAACGTTTCTCGTTCTTCATTCTGCACAGGACTGTTTTTTTTTTTTTTGCTTTCCAAATTTGAGCCTACTTCAAGGATGACTGTTTGCCAAAAAAAAAGTTAGAACCATACGCAGCCACTGACTAAATCAAACTTGATTGACTAACCTGTGTATTTAAAATTCCTTCTGGCAGAATTGAATAAGGAAGTTAAAATTTTGATACAAAAGTCGCGAAAAGTAACGTTTCGAAAGTAAGACCTGAATGAGGATTTTTTTTGTTTATCACATGCATACGTTATTCTAGGCACTTATTGATGTCTATAAGGTACGGGGAATTAGATCGTCGAAAAAACAGCTGCTCGTAGGATTAAGCACAATGTCCTTGCTATATAGAAGTAGGTCGACATGCGGGTATTTAATGTAAGAGGCAAGCAAACATAATTAACAGCTTTCTTAAAATGGTGTATGTCATGATGCTGTATAAGACGTTTTTCTTTAAAGAGAGAAAATAATTATATTTAATTCGGCAATTGTTATTGATGATAGAGCTACCAAAGTATTTAGGAACAAGAATCAAAAGGAGTGGGAACAACCCAGAATCGTTAACATCGTAATCGAATTTAATGTGTTTTTCTCGCTTGGTCTGTTTGGGCATACCCAATACGTCGGGCTATCACAGCTCAATGACTCTCAGCAAGTTGTGTGTCTACAGCAAAAAATTTTCGAATTAACAACCGCTTGTGTCATCAGTCAAGGCAGCAGATCGAAGATCTGGGTTTGTTTCAAATTATTTGCTAAGACGGTCCTCATTGGATATAAATTGGACACTTTTTTGAACGCGCAGTAATCCATATACAGAGTGCTGTGTTGGCTTTCATTAACACTAGGATACGCGTACTGCTTTACTAGACCCAGAGCCATCTGTCGATGCTCCCATCTGTAGAGAGAGATCTGAGTAGTTGTAATACGTTAATTCCTCGTGTGGCTCGAAAAATATCGTTTTACAGAACATTGTGCTTCACACGGTGAATCTATGACGACGTTGATAGCTTTTTTTTGCTCCTGAATCATTTCTATACGCAGTCATACCTAAACATATGCTTTTTATGCGTTCGTCTCTCTTAGTTCTTCGTCCGCGTGGAGAACATCTACAAATGTTATCATACAATTGAAGGAGAGTTCGTTCTTGAAGAATACAGTAAGTATCTAAACCATGCACGCAAATGTCTCCAATCCTTAATGTCGCAAACAGACGGTTTACTGCTTAAGTCAGAATCAATGTCGCTTGCTATTTGACCTCTTAGTTTTTATATGCGGTTTGGAAACAAATGTAATACATAAACAATGTTGTCTCCGCTTCCTTATTGGTAATACCAAGCTTTATGAGAGGCTTACACGTGACTATAGTATGCCCATTTTGCATTAATTAGTAAATCTCAAATTACTAATGTTTACACTATGTTGCGCCTGATTTGTTTTTCAGATCCAAAAACAAAGAAGATTGCCGAACGTAAATACCGATCTAAAATGGCGTACAACATCTTCTACGCTGTGCTGTGTGTGTTCTCGTATCTGGCTGCGGGACCCGCAAAAACGCCGTCGCCGAATGCCCCCGACACCAACACAAACATCCAACACCAAAGTGCCCCTACCCCTCCAGGCGGTGCCCCTGGCATTGGCAGCTCTGGAGATCAGAGTGAGTCCGCACCCGATATTACAACTAGGGCCGCCTCCACTAGCGGCAGTCACAATACCCGAAACGGAACTAGCACAGAAGCAGCACCCTATTCTTCCACAAACCCATTCCTATAAATTCCTTTGAAGTGCACTCACTCATAGTAACCACAGGATTATCAGAATTTAAGAGTAATGACACAAACAAATAGCGTTGTAACAAATACCGATAATGATAATGGCTGACAATTTTCGAGGGCTTCAATGGGCGGTTCGGAGCCATACGTACGCCTTCAGTCAGTGAAGCGTAACTCTGCCAATAGACGTCGCTGAGTGCATAGACAACGACATATTTGAACTGATCAGCATGATCAGAATATAGTCAACAATAAATACGGAGACAGAGAGCTTTTGAAAGTCAAGGTCACCCATGAGCTTGCATCAACAGTATAAAGATTATAAACCGACAAACAGTAGAAGTACGATTAAATTCAAATGAGCATGTAGAGACAAAAAATATAGCTATGCACATTGAGCAGCAGCGCTACGGTGAGCCATAGAACGCACGATGGCAACAGTAACAGCGTGGGCAAAATGTTTCAGACCTAAAACCGACGCGGCCAGGAGACGCTGACAGCAGCCGGCGTAGAGGATGGATAAAGGCCAAATCGTCAATGTTAATAGGCGTGTTAACAGTAACGAGTGACAATACGGGTGTCTCGCCTAATGATACGCAGGCCAAGTGATTGATGTCACAGATCTTCGACACTTTAGACATGCGACGGTACGAGGAAGCACAAGTAGCCTTAATCATCAACAGCAACAGCACGAACAACAATCACAGCAACAAATTACCGTTTACGGACTTAACGTTTAGGCGTAAAAAGTGCCGAATTCACAGAACGCATTGTAAGCACTACGTTGAGCGGAATACAATAGTTCAGTTATACAGCGGGTGGCGAGCCATAGTTATCTATATTAACATATCACTGCGTTTACAATGCTTCATATGCGCGATTTTCAGTGTTAAATATTATGTGCTCAAGAACCTATGGTAGGTAAGTAGAATTGGCTTGTTTAGTTACCAATTACCTGATGTTTCGACTGAGAAGGCCGATTCAGAGCGTATGTACTATACCAACAACAAACAATATATGATAGGGAACGCAACTGACAAATCAGAGGGAAGGTTTACATTTGTAAAGTATCAGGCCAGAATGCTATTTATTGAGCTCGATTAGCTAACTGAAGTAATTTTTCAATGCCCATGTACTCACAAAGTAAATATCTACAGAGTTAGATTAAAAAGAATCAAAAGCCATGCTAGGGCTTTGTATCAGTATTATTTCTGTTTTTATTAAAGCCTCTTCGGCGTCTCAAACAATTACTGATGTGGCCATGACAAAACGCAACGCGCAGGCAGACAGACACCGTATAGCGAGCTTTTTTCCTAACCCCTTTGACTCTTCGATATGAGTCAGTTTTGGAAGGCAAGGATGCAAGGCTTGAAACGTGTACTTATCCCACTGCCTTAGAAAATTCGCTCGTCGAAACTGTTTCCCACAATACTGACATGTTGAAACGAACTCTTGTTTCCCTTGCTATAAACGAAAATCGAGCAAGTTCTTCTCATGTATAAAAATGGACCACTTTGGCGATAACCGTTGATTCTTCACGGCATATATTTAACCATTTAAAAGCTTCTGTGAATTAGAAATAAAGGCTGTAGACTTCAATGAACGCAGAGGTTGATTACCCGTAGCATGGATATCTATGGCCTAGCTTTTTCAATTTATTAATCTCGATGGGCCTTGCTGAACTTCAGTAGCTGATGGCAGTCCTTCAATAGGTCGATCTGACATTAGGGTTGTTAGAGTCGCGTAGCAGCAGGTACGACCACCCGAGACCAGCTCTCGTTGATCGCTCCTTTATCGGCTTTGTGTTGCCTTGTCGTGGACCTATTATCCCGATATTATCAACAAAAACTCCAATATACCAATTTCTGCTGTCCGTATTCTCCTTCGCGGAAAATTGTTGTCAATCTGCAATAATGACAGATTTGGTATAAATGCACGGAGCTTTTCAAATAAAATTGGCTCAATTGATCTTTGTTGCCTGTGTCGCCCTACACAGGTATACTCTTTGCTTCACGAACATTGTTTAACATTCGACCCGACTTGCATTCTGACTCTATACAGGCTTTGTAAGCAAGGGCCTTCTATTTGAAATTGACTTCTGCATTGACTTCTGCTCAATAAATCTTTTTTTTTTCGGCTTCAGGCATAGCTGGAAAATGTGTTGTCAAGGCTCGTTGAGTGGCTACTTGTGCTACAAAGAATAGGATGCTGATGCGTATGGACTGAATACAAAACTCTTGAAGCAAGTTTCCTCAACTCTTCCTGCTTACCGGCCATTCCCTTGAGATAACGTAGTCGCCGATTCTATTTCGAATTCCAAGTTCATGGCAGCTAGTTTGTTGAGGAGGAAGACATCGATGAGAAACGGCCATGTTGAGTTCCGCACTGCGCGTCTCTCTCTTTCTCGGTTGAGTTGTTGACTAATAGAAAATGAAGTCGGACGGCCAGATCCGACATAGACACAGTACGCTTAAGCAACGAATACGGTCGGTTGGTTCGGAATGGTTTCGCGCAATAGCGATTATATGTTCACCCAATCGATTGTGATCCAATGTTCTATGAATATCGCTTTAAAACGTGACAGAGATTAGTAAGTCTAAGGGAACGGGAAAGAGCTGAATCACACTTTTAGATGGCACTGACTGTACTGCTGACGCGCGTCGAACGCATCGAAAGAACAGCAACTGAAGTCTCCACCTATCCGACGAGGCGAACACAGTATTGTCATCTAAGGGTCGTGTTGTTTCGATCAGACATATCCTTACACACAAATCTGTACATCCGAGCGAGCATCTGCACCTAACTTATTTCAGAAACCCAATCATCGTTACCATCGAAACAGCGTTTAGGATAGAGGATTTTGAAAAAGCGCTACCTTATTGACGCGGTATTATTTCGAATTTCAGAGTGGTATGTAATTATAGACGTGTGCGTTCCGTCAGGTGTTGGTGGTTTTTTTTCGGTGCTCGGTATGTTTACTTAAACGCCAACGTGTCCAGTTAGAGCGAACAGTCAGTCTCTTGTGCCTGCGGTGAAAGCTCGTTAAGCGCTCGTTTCGTTGTTGTTCTTGTTGCTGCTGCTGCTGCCGCTGTTGTATTGATGACGTGTGCAAACGGGGTATGGCATCGGAAGCACACACGTGCGCGTCTCTACTCATCACAATATCGAGCAGACAACACACATTAAACTAAAGGTGGTACATTAAAGGGGCGATGATAAACATTATAATAATAATATTTATTATTATTACGAGCAGCAGCGTAGCGGTGTCAACATGATGTAAGAGTTCGCGTTTTTGGTTGTACATTAGTAAATGATGAAGGCAATGACATCATTATCGCTAAAGATAACAAACAATGTTAGTAATATAAGCATGATATATACAATTAATAATAAAAAAACAATAGTAATATGATTACTGTTTATATTTACACGTATAATTATTGCATAGCCATTGTGTAGCACTCACGTATTTTGTATACCTTGTTAACGATATTAAAATGTTAAGGATCAGAGAAAGACAATGCAAAACGAACGAATGAAGAAACCAAGTCTAAATGAGGATTAATAATCAAAGAAGATAATAACACAATGAAATTGTCGACATAATAATGAATCTCATAGACAACACAACAATCGAAACATCGGCGTACATAAGAAGGACACACGCACACACGGTAGCGGCAATGCTAGATTCGTGTACTTGATTGTTTTTTTTTGATTAATCGGCACTGACTTGTAGAGTCACCTGCCTTTGTTCTTTGCGTAGGTCTGAGGAGAGGACACGACAGCAGCGAATTAGATAATACTACTATTATAGTAAAAATAATCACAATTAACAATTATAATAATGGATAGAGCAACATCCGGGAACGGAATAGATGCAGCAGGAGACAGACATAGACAGAGATTTAAAAAAAAATTGAAAAAAAAAGGTAGACGAGAGACGTTGGTCGTCGTATTACGTCGAAGCAATAATACTACTGACAATAATAACAATAGCAAACAGCACAGCATATGTCACGAGATATTAACTAAATCGAGTTGTTATTTATTAAGGTAAACTGAGTCATTTAGGTAATAGTTCGCTGATTCCCTCCAGCAGAGCATAAGTAACGCGTCTAAACTTAAAGAGATATGAACCTTGGGTCCGTATCTAAGAACAGGGACATTCGTATCATGTTGGGGATCAGCCTTGATTGACGCAGTGCTAGGCAGTAGACTCGAAACCTTTAGCTTGGGCCGCCTCTATGCTTTTCGTACTCTCAACGTAGCTTTCTCAGCGGCACGTACTGGGATTACTTAGAAATCAAAGACTAATCTTGGATAGTTGAAACCGAGCATTTTCAAGACGCATATCTGCCTGCAAGTTGGTGTGGTCTAGTGTCTGTAGTATGTTTTTTTTTTCAATTAGCTTTGCCTATTTTTGGCCTATAGTAGGAGTTCTACTATCCGACTGGAAAGTTCAGGTGTCATTTATAGTAGATTCTAGGGATAATCTAAAGATAAATCGATCTTTTACAAATGAGATGAGCTTTGATTGCATGACCCTTTTTACTGCACATGATTTCAAACAAGACCTGGACGACGTAAAGGATCTATTTCATTTCACATGTGCTACCAGTTAATGAAAGGTGCGCCATGTGGCATACGAATTAAACTTAGCTGCTTCGTTGTCTGCCTACTGATAATTGACAACGATGATGGGTGGTTCAGTATGATCGGCCGTTTCCTGTATTTTTAGTAATAAACATCGTAAATAAATGATGGACACGTCGTCTGCACGGGCTTCGTGAACAGCTCACACGACTACTACGATCTCTAGAGTTGTGTTGCAAATCGGCGATAATTATTGAAATTTAATTTGATACACCGCTTTTAAATGCAACCCATCACGCGTGTTTTTGCGCGCAATCTTAAAAAAACACGTTACAAAAATCACAACGTGTGGATTTCTCAGATTCTGTTGGCAGAGGCTGCGGGAGGCGCACCCAAAGGGGCTGTAGGACTTCAGCTAACGTCTTTCTATAAATACGAGGCTCCTTCGTCGCCTAACTTGCTCACTTCGTTAACGTTTGTTGTCTATATGAGCTAGGACATTGGCAACCGGCGTTTATTGCATTAGTATTTACAATGTACCCAGTATGATTAAGACATTTGGAAGCTATACATAAGGAAGAATATACAAGTTTCTGTTACTAGTATTGTAGGGTAACCAGCTAATAAACACTACAAGAATATAGGATTTCTCAAATGGTGTCACTCTATCTTGCAGCGTTTCTATTGCTTTATGTTTGGCTAATGTTAGTAACAGAACCGCTAGCGGTAACCATCACGCATGATTACCTGGCTGGATCTATAAGGGGCCCTCGTTTAAGGATCAATACCAGCTACGATACAAACGAGCCAGTGAAGGGCGCAAAGGCGTAGATCGTAATACATGCAAGTGGAACGGTTTGCACTTGAAATAATTAAATAAATATGGGAGTACGCGTCAATACGGAATTATGTATGACAATAGAAATTCAACTTTGTTAAAAAACGTTCTCGAATGACGCAGATGGCACTATAAAAACAACGTTTTGTCACCGTATGGATGACATGACAGCGGGCCAGGCGTTGCTGAAAAAACAATTTGGGTAAGCTTGAACACAGAAATGATCACTTTTCGCTGGCTTCGATATTCCTCACTCAGTTTGATTCAGGTTTTAACCCCACAATCGCAAAGTGTTTTATACTCAATGCTCGTTGTCTTGCAACAAAAAAAAAAATTCGTTTATGAACATAGTTATTATAGCCGAAGACCAAAACGCCCTGATTGTTTCGTCTCTCCGCGTACTACTTTAAGCTATTTTTAATAGAGCTATGGACCTTTAACTGCGACCGGTATATTTGGAGCGATTTCAATTTGATGGGACTCGTATGTGAGACTCATTTGTTTGTTCGCACTCTCGCGGTGTAAGACACGATCATACCCGCCAAAGCGTTATCCCTTTTGTTATTTCGCCTGACGCCTGAAAACGTTTAAAAACATTCTGGCAGATTTCTCCAGCCAGTTAGAGAGGCGGCTGCTTTTTCTTTCTTTTTTTATCTATACATGCGTTCTGTATTTCCACGTGATTCTGTTTAGGCGTTTTAATTTTTTAAAATTATTCTATCAAAAGCGTAGTTCATGTATTTATGGCAGCCCCCTATAAATGATCGTATATACGTAACTCGTAGTATAACTGCAGATTGATACGATTCTTCTGTTTCACCTGACGCACACTAGATGCATATGTTGTGCTGCGTTTTCCCTATCTTTACTGCTTAAATCTGGTACAGGTTATGTATAGCCATTACCTGCGTGGTGTGGTACGTAAGGTTGGCAGTGTTTCGTCGTACCAAACTCGCAGGTCCGAAATAAGGAATCTTGTCCAACTGCTGGTCTGCCGTATCTGGTTGTAATTATTTGTCTTGTCATTGCTATAAGATTCACAACTTCCTAGTCGTCGACAGGTCCATCTCGTTGTCCAGATCCCTTTTCGCTTCTTCCACGAAGAATCTTTCGACGGAATAGTGAAACGAGTGCTCTCTGCGTTGACTACTCTCTCTCTCTCTCTCTCTCTCTCTCTCTCTCTCTCTCTCTCTCTCTCTCTCTCTCTCTCTCTCTCTCTGTTCGTGGCTCTTTGTGCCATACTCTGTTTATCTGGAGCGATATCTGTCCCATATCGGAGCAGTGAGCAGCGCTATGCATTTTACTATCGACGCCAGAGGGCGTCTCGTACATTCCGAGGGGTCCAACACTCTAAGCATAAATCGCGCTATGTTAAGGGCTTTCCTTGCAGTGTATTGTAAGACCCTGCATGCGATTCCTCTCCAGCCCAGCTGTTGCGAGTTCTTTCTCACGGCGAAGAAGAAGCGCCACCTGTATTTGGCTTCACTTGAAGGGAGCAATGCCACTACTTTGGACTATTCACCTAGTCCATGTACCTAATTTTTTTATTCTTCAAACAAACAGTGAAATAAAAATGTATCATTATTATTTTTACTTCGGTTAACTTGAACCTGCTGACGATAAGTATTTAATTCTAAACTCCTGTATAATCAATAAATACACGTTGAAATATTCAATGTATGCAAACATGGGTGTTACTGCAGAAACGAGAGCTGCAAAGCCAAAGTATGAAGTGGGAAATGCAGCCATAATAATAGAAATTTTAATGAACTGGTGCTGGTCCATTCTGTCTCCATTATGTGTCTCTGAAATGAAAGTGGGAATCAATAAATTGCGTCGTTCCTGACCCATTTACGAACCAACTTTATTTTTTTAGTAGAAATTGTTGCAGCTTGATAGAAAAGAATACGAATTAACTAATTGCCTAAAGCTGCCAGCCGCTGACTTTCAAGAACATTTTAAAGATCCTCAGTGATATATTTATGTGAAAAAAGAAGAGTATTACGTTAAATACTAAAACACATCGTATTTAAAAATCACTGACAAAGTAGTAACAACTTCTACCAGTGTCACGCATTCGCTTAGATGCTCTTTGACCGTAACACCGCGAACTGAAGATGGTCTGAGTGAGCACTTGTAAATCTGCACAAAATTAATAAGAAGAATGTAATCGCACGATCGAGCGCAATGGACGTCTACTCATAATTTAAAAGCGTTCGTGAATTGTCTTTCTGATTATGAAATGTAGAGATCTACAATACCGATATTTCTCTAAAAAGGCAAACATTTGCTAAATACGTAATAAACTGTCGGTAGGGGGCGTTAGCATCAAGGGCCGATGGTATAGTAAATTTTGCCTACTTCAGTCTGGTTTCATGAGGCTCCTTTCCAATAAAGATGCGGGTATTTCAGTTAAATTTGGACTCTTTTTTTCTTCTATGTGATGGTTACTGTCCAGATTTGTATCACGGCAGAGATTGATCCTGTAACACTTGCCCTTACGAAACTTTGAAAGTTTCTGCGGTTCCAGCTGCAAGGGTGCGGCGGCGGCGGCTACTAATGTTTGCATATCGACGCGCGATCATGTTCGTAGACTTCTGTAGCTCATATATACTTCAGCACAATGGAAAAAGGGCGAGTTAAAAATCTGACGGGCCCAACGAAGGAGGTGCAGACTTGCTGTCGTATGGCGTGTGCTTGATGCGACTAATTACTTCAAGGAAATCTAGTCCTTTTGGCCTTATCAACACCCGCGTCGAAGCTAACTGGCCGATTAAAGTTCTTTTTTAGACAATCAATTTATTTTCCCAGCTATTGTCACAGACAACTGTGTAGGAATTAATCGGTTCTACCAGCGAAAAAAAACAACAAGACGACCAGGCACGTAACAGGCACTCAGTGATCTGGATCATTTTCGGAAGAAGGTGTTATAAATCTGCAAAGCTCGATATCATGTAAATGAGACTCTGGTGATTATGTTGTGTGTGTATATGTTGTCCTGCTAGAAAACGAGAAGGGGCGGACAGTTTTAGCGCATGCGCAAGCGTTTGTCAGGTGGCAATATATCCACTTTAATTTGTACAGATGATTTCCATTTCAATCGACTTCTCTTTTCCCGCTGTCTTGATGTCACCAGAGAAAAACATCGAATAGGTTTTAACACACTGCTGCTGTCCGCTTTCAAACCCTGATAGGTGTCAAGGTAATAATACTGTATCGTAATGATGCCGCTTCGCGGATTCATTGTTGCATATTTCGATGGTCATCTACGGCTCCGCTGATTCATACGCAACTCCTTCGCGTTGCTTTGTTATAAACATACATAAAAACCAAATGACAAATTACACAGCTCGTTTTGTTCTTTGTTACCCCTATGTTTAAGAGATAATCCAGATGGGGGTATCCGTCCTGCTTGACATATGCTTGTTCTCGCTATCCATTTTCGGGCCGATGCTGCAGCCGCGGCCGTTACACAACAAAGTCAAGTCTTCGAATAGTGGTAGGCGCCGTCATGAGCCCCCTTCCCCAGCTTGTTCGCCTCCTCGCATCGCAGGAGCTTCCACACGGGTGCGTTGTTTTCGCCGTTCAGTTTTAACTTAGCCTGCGGTGGGCTAAGACACAGAAACTTAATGCATGTGTGTCCACTTAGCCTTATTAATACGCTGCCAAAGCAGCCAACAAATCATTGATTTTAATTAGACCTATATTGAAAGTATACACATCTAACATATGAGTGAAATGATCTTACGACGTTCATTGTGCTGTCTAGGCAAAAAATGACAACGAAAGGATAAGTGTCCAAGGATACCTAACGGATTTATATTAATAAGATCGCAGTTTAGGATACAAATTCAAGGATATCAGTGGTAGCGCGGATTTCCCTTCTTCAGGACCCGCAAAAGGTAGGGGCTAGGACCCTAGGTTACTTTCTCTACAAAAATCTAACCAAATATTTTTCGCCCCCCATCCGACGCGCGTTTTATTCGTTTGCTAGCTTTCTTCACGCATGCGCTGCGAAACGCCTTATTCTAAATGTTCACGTATTGACTGTGTGAACTGAATAGCGTAATTTTTTTTTTTACTAATTTTACGTTTCTGGAAAATGCTGTCTAACGTCAGACTAAACCATCATCCATACCTGCATTTGGTTACGTTACATAGCCTTTTCAGTATAAGATGGCTCCTAGAGTGGTGGCATAACGATAGAATTCTAAAAAACAGATAGGTAATAAAATAGTTTTTAGTTTAAGAGGTATTTTTTTCTTTGATCCTTTCGGTAGATGGGCATAATGCAGCTACTAGTGTTTTTTTAGCTATTTATTACTTGTGGAAGGCGCTCGCTGTGCTCCTCAACTAGCTATGAATATGCATACGCTGAACATATCGACTCTGATATGTTTTTTTTCCTAATTTAATAATTTGCTAATTTCGACATCCAATTAGGCAAGAGATTATTCTGGGCGGTATGCTCGTCGCAAGCATATGTTGTTTTTATAAATATAAGTGTAATGTGTGTGTGTGTGTTAACGGAGATCTGAAGCTCGTGCCAGGGAGGACAATTCACCTCTTGCGACAAGGAAGGGAAAAAAAGGCCAGTCGTCGGTCGCAACGGAACTCGTTGTATATGCATGTATAGGACGAGTAAGCTGTGAAGGCGACGTAGATAACGTGTTTAAGAAGCGTGGGGTAATCAGGAATACAGCCCTCGCACCGCATTTTTACGACATGGCTTTTATACGCTCAATTTTTCCACTTAGTTACCGCTGCGCTTTCACCAACCCATCGCAGTAAACTAACTTATCTAAAATTGTTCTGACTGGTTAGTGGCATCTTTACCTTCTGAGAAACTCACGTGGTATGCCGCGGCCGTTTGAGTCAGGTGAGAAAGCAAATGGGGGCTTGTTCATTTGCAGTTGTTAGCTGAGTCATTGTTCGCAGTATGTACTTTTAGGCTGGAGCAGTTTCTTGTCAACAAACAAGTCTTCCTTGACGCCAGTTAAAAATGTCATTGTTGTCCTACGTTAATGTTATCTTATGTTTGCGTAAGACAAGTTGCTCGTCGATGCAAATAACAGTTGATTGGCGACGCTACATTTTTCCCTATGGGGTATTATCCTCAATTAGATACTTAGGTTGCTCTATTTGGCTTATGCATAGTCAGACGACCCCACGGAGCAAATATCCTCTCCTGCCCCCGTCGTCTGGGGGGCTGTGCTTCTTGGCCACTGTTGTTACCCTTACACCGCTACCATTCGGTGGGGTAATGCCGGAAGAACAACATCATCAACAACTGTTGTCGACAACCCCTGCACATCATCAGCTTTGGTGGCTGGTTTTGTCATTATTACAGTTGAGACCATTTTGTTGGGCGTGCGTGCATTGCCTCGTTGGCTAGTAGCAGCAGCAGAACCTGTGTACGCTGATCGCCGTAGCTTAGGGGGTTGCTGCAATTTCCATAGAGCGGAACAGAAACTGCTCTTCGTTTCTTTCGGCTCTCGTCGGTAACGATCGGATCGTGGGTAAACCGGGAGGATGGCGTAGCGCCACAAAGGCAGAATATGAAGTCAGCATTATTTCAGCTTACTGCCATTAAGATAATCAGGTTAACTCTCAGATATTAGCTATGATTTGCATACGCCTATTGTTGTAACCCTGCAAAGGTGTAACAAAAGTAGTAATTCAAACAAGGTATAATAATGCAGAGATTGGCTAGTATGAAAAAAGCTGTAGCATCGATCACTTGATGGAATGAAGATTGGTCAAGATGATACGCGATTTGACTGGACAGGGTCCCTATTTTGCCCATTTAATGTTGGAAAAGCTAGCAATAGGCAATCCATATCTCCGAGACGCTGTCTAAGCCTGGCAAATTACAACCAATGCGTGAATCTTTCCGGGACTATTGCGTTCCATCAGAATGAAAAGTCAAATCTCATAGTAAGTAGTAGTAGTAGAATGAACCTCTAGAGCCTGAAGGCAATCGCTAGACTGTTAACTTTTATCCTGCTCACAGTTTTTGCGAATCAGTCAGGCAGATAACCGCTGCCTAACCTGGAAACGGTATTTTGGAATCTGTAACGCTCTAACCTTTGATGGGCATGACGTACACCTACTGCTGTGTTTTTTTAACAATCTCATTCCATTGATTCCATTCCAGGAAAGGAGCCATTCCTTCAATGTAGTATTAACGTCAAATTTTTTAACGATTTTTACCATTACTACCATTATCGGACCTCATAAATCTTAAAATAGCGTAGTATTTCCAGCGTAGTGAAGTTTAGCACACAGAAGCAGATACAGATGTGCTTAAAGAAATTACGGTAATTTTAAAGACACAACTTTATGTTGTGTAAAAGTCCCTACTTCTAGATATAATCAAATAAGTGCAACTTACGCATCACTTCAGTACACTGTATGAAACGTGCTCAACTAAATACGCAACGTAATTTTCATAACTGCGAAATAACTGATAACGGCAACGTGTGCCAATAAACGATGAGTCAAGCATAGAGATATGATAAGAAATTTGCAGTGCCAGTGAGTTAGACATGAAATTACTGGCTACATAAACAAATTCACGCAATCGTTGATAAATTCGTATGATCTGACGTAAACGTAAATTAGATAATATGCAATGAAGAAGAATGAAGCAGAACTTCTATAATAGAATAATAGTATCGGTGTTACGGAGTTATTATGTCTACGATCGAAAATTGGAGGATGTATGGATTATCCCGAACGTGTCGTTCTTCAATTAGAAGAAACGATCACGACAAAAGTATGCACAGCGATCTACGCTTTCTCACCTCCAAACAGTAAAACTTTCCGTACGCGTGAACGGCCTCTGCTCGAGACGGCGACGCAGACCAAGAGTAATCGACTCCATCTTCATCTTATATCGCAGCAAATGCTATGAATTTTAACACTATGTGAGAAGCATATGTAAATGGGTCCATTGAATGGGGCTATCCTTGGATGTCACACATTAGCATAGTCGTTCTTATAGTAGTTCTAAATAAGTTAGCACAAATAGCGTCCAAGTTATTCCTCATGTTGCCTATCTAAATAGTTGGGAAAATTTGAAAGTTTGTTCAACAATGCAAGGACCGTCTTGTAGTTGGGTATCCTCAAAACACGCACGCACACCCCTGGCGACGAATATACTTATTTGTCATCTAATTTCTTTCGGTAATGGCTTTTTATGTTCATCGCAAGAAATAAAAATCTCTGTTATTTTATTTTGCGACGTGAGACACTTGTAATTAGCCCACAACGGCCATTCTAGTATCCGATAGGACCAATACATTGAAGTACAACTCGATATAATAAAAAAAAAACATTAAATAAACATTGTAGTACGTTTTTATCCAAGTAACATGATGCACATTGAGAAATACTATTTTTCTTATTGTGACAATGGTCAATAATGGCCCATTCAATATCGGATAAATAACGTTATTTCTGTAGTTCTAAATAACCTTCTGATATACAGTCGCCCGAACCAAAGTGTGTGACTGAGTTCAGACCCACGGAATAATAACTGTTATTACTATTATCTCTTCATGATATGCTTCAGTTTTTTAATATTCACAATTGAGACGCTTGTACGAAATTGTTTCTTGTTACTACTCCAGCGTACGATTGTGACGCAGCCTTGTTACTATAATTAAAATACTATGCCCTATAGTGAGATTGGGGTGCTATTATCGGGATCGAATTGTAAGATGACAATCGATTAGAGATGAATTACTGATTCCATGCTACCCCGCCTTCTTCCATTGGAGGCCAGGCTACCGCCGCAGACGTGAACCGGCGATGTCCTTGAGTTGTTGCTCCAACAACTGACTAACAACTGCCTCGTTCATTCTTTTTCTGAGGCATTACTACGGGTGCCGGAAGGTCGACCGGGTACCCGGTTTATCCGCCCATAGAATTAGATGCGGCTCCGGTATCTAATTCATTTGAGTATTGACTCGCCTTGTTCCACCCCCGAAAAGATACCCCTCTTGCTGTTGACGAGAATGACAACTGTAACAACAGTCATCAAAGTTATAATAATGTGTGGGGGTCATATATTCGTACGGTACGCTGCGTATTACTAGTTTATCATCAGTACTCGGATCAAGATAGAAATAGTTCGGAGATTTTATGCCGGTTAGTATCTTTCGCTGTGGATGCTACATACTTCCTAGTTCACTATATACTTCGCTTCGCCGATGGTTTTCCGCAATTTGCGGCTCAGATCTCTCCATACATAATAATTATTGTTACTATATTATCGCATTTTGAAACACTGCTCTTTCGAAAGGCTAGTGACTACGTCACTGTATCCTCCATTAAACTAAGTAAATAGTATAGCCTTATTCTATCGCTCGTCCTGGACAACAACGCTGCCAGGTATCTTGCGTGCCACGCATGATTTCTTAACTATCGAACCGTGACGTTTGGCAGAATACGATTTAAGGCCAATGCCTAGATTGAATTGTGCCTTGTACCGACATAAAGTAAGAGTCGCACCGTCTCTAGACCTGTTTTCTATTGACAATAGGATAACCAGAGCGAATCGTACTCAAATGGCTATCAAATCTGTCTCTTCATGCATTGCCCTTAGACACTCGGCTTCGTATATGGCCAATGACTATTTTGCACAACTGCCTGCGGTTTTTGGCTTTATGACACCATTTCCATTAAGTTCAATGGAGCAGTAAGTCCTGTAACGAACTAGTGGCGGTATCTGCTCAACGTATACAGTTGAAAGGTTTTAAGTTGAGCGAAGTTAACCGAAAGGAATGGTAATAATTAAAAATCGAAATCCAATTGGCATTGTAGGTGACGTGTCCTGCATGTCCTGGCCATCCGTATTCTGAAACATGCTATATCATCAGAAGCCATTTCTAGCAAA